CCCTACACCCATTTCTAGGGAGAAGTGAAGGTGGCTGCTGTGCTTTGTGTTTTGATTTTGTGTTCTGTAAGCTCTTTTGGTGAAGTCTGATAAACCCGATGGAATAAGCTCCACCAGAGGTTTACTTTGAATGCCTTCTCTTCCAACACTGAATCATGATAAAGCTTTGGCAGGAGTTAGGCATATAGTTGCTTAAGCCAGGATGCTTCTAAGTCTGTGCTTTGACATCTGTACCGTGAGTCAGACCAATTGATTTTGATTTTGGTTTGGCTGTGCTGTCTTTGGGTTTGTTTGGGTTTTTTTTTTTGAGTATGCCCAGCTTTTCATTGTGATTGAATGTGTGCTGGCATTTAAGTGCCTAAAGTTCACCTATTTCAAGAGCCAGTCAAAATTTAACCTTTAAGAATGTGAGTCCTATCAAGGGTCTTCCTTATCAGGTACTGAAGCACAGTTGCAGTCCTGGGAACCCACTTTCAGTTGCTGTGAAAAGAAAAAGGTGCTATTTCCTGGTGAGGTTCTGAGCGTTCAGCTTTCAGATTTCCTCAAAGTGTGTTGGTTTTGGTAGGACTGAATGATGTATGACCATGCAACATTTGTAGACTAGGCTGCTTTATTTTTATTTTTTTTTACCTGGGGGGTTGAGTTCAATTCAGTAAGTTACTCAGAGCTCACATACCCTTCTCCACTTTATTTTTCAATAGGTTATTTTGGTGTCCGCTTCTGTCCAGATTCCTAGCGACAAAGACACTGATCTGAGATGGAGGGAAAGCAGCATCAGGGACTGAACTCAACCGAAATCACTTGAAATCTGAGCTCCCACCTTTCAGCAGGGATCTGGGATGAGTGGCATTTGGCATTCCAGCTTTCCTTTAAAATATTTCACATTGCATGGAGTAATTTTCCATTGTGCTTCAGGGGTGGTGGAATCACAACACTTTCCCCAGCTCAGTGTCCTGTACACTAATAAGGAGTCTCAGAGTATAATTGCTGCTTCACTTGATTTCACTGTTTTATGCCAAAATTCATCCCAGAAGGATGTTCACTCCAACTTCTTGGTTTAGAGTCAAGTTTGTTCTCCAATTTAGGTGTTTTAACTGATCCATGGGATCAGATGTTGAAACCTCAATGTGATGTAGCCTTTAGTATGTCAGTGGATGCCAAGATCCATCATTGAAACTATTACCTTTAGAAAAGGTGAAATGTTACTTCCATGTTATGAATGAGTGAAGCTTTATCTGGAATAGGATGTGTATGTGTTTTGGTTGCACAGTTGGGAACGATGAACTCAAACTGAAGAGATGCACTGTTGAGAAGAGGGGAGCTTTGAGGTTAAATAAGTAAATTGGAAGAATCCAGTTTGTTTAGCATGCAGATGAATTAAGGATCAAATGTCTGGCAAGACCTGTTGAACCTAGGTGGTCTTTCTTGCACCAGCACAGATGGGCAAAATGTGGCTTTGTGCAAACATAGGCTGCAAATTGGAGGAAGCTTCAGCATAATTAGAGGAACACGGTACCGGACGTGACCTCTGATGGTTGCAATGGTATAAAGCCCAACTGCTTTTTGAATGGATCTTGGTAAGCTTAGCAAAGATTGCTTATGTGACGCAGTGGAGGAGTTTGCAAAATTCAGGAAAGGGCTTAGGTATCTGATACCAGGAGAGACTGCTTGACCTGAAAAGGGGGAGTCAACGTGAACTGCTTGAATCTTGAATATGGACAAGATTTAAGACAGACGTGACTTCAGCTTTTACCAATTATCAGCATAAACCTTTCTGTCACAGGGCTTCTAGCCCAGACTTGGGCAAGCCCATGAAGCGACTGTACAGCCATACCTGGTGGACAGCGCTGGTTAAACCTAGCTTGTCTAAAAAAAAATATCTTTTCCATACACCACATCGGGTTTTTTCAGTCTTAATATTTTATTATCATCACCAAAAAAAAGCAGAAATATAATATAGCTGCAGACTGAGTGTTTTTACAATGCTTTCAACTTGAAATTCAGGCTCTGTGTTTGAAAGGTTAATGTAGAAAACTAATTATATTATCCTGGTAACCAAATGTGTGATGAGACATTTGTCTGTGTAATTAACAGTGAAGAACTTTTATAGTTTCATAAAATCGAATGCTACGCACAGTGTGCTTGGAGCATTTGTTTTGAAGAGATGTCCAAAACAGAGATGTTTATGACTGATATAAAGTGGAACTGAAATGTACTGTAATGCAGGTGTCTGTGCATTTTACAGCATTTCGCATTGTTGAAATGGAAGGCAGCAGATTAATAACTTTGCTATGTCATGGTAAAAATAAATAATGTGTTCTTGGAGCAGGGGAGCGATGCATAAGTTACTCACTAATTTCAAGAATTTATTCTGTCCCAGAAATAATATCCTTTGCAATTTATTCACAGAGAAAAAGTTGACTTAACACAAGACTGTAAAGTTACTTGTTACTTTTAACAGAATTATACTGATTGTTGCAATAGTAGCTTCTGTAATTAAGACTGCATAAAAGTTTATTTTATATATCTGTGTTCTCCATAAAACATCTCCATGCGGGGGCTGAAGCATGATCTTGACCTGGGATATTTCCAAGGACTGGGGGGAGTCGTTGCATATGTATTATTATTTTTTTAATTGTATGACCCTGTCAATATGTACATTTGTGGAGCAGTTGCTCACTTGTCCTTTCCAGAGTGATTTAGCCGTTGCCATGTGGCGTGAAAGCGTGTAACTTAGGCATCTGTGTCTGCTCCTGTGGGGTCTTTTGAAACTGTTTCCCCAAGCTCTTCAAAAGAGTTATTTTGTGTTGGCGGTGACCAGGCCACCTAGGCTGATCCAGCTTCCAGAGAAATAACCCCCGGCATCCTGAATGGTCCCAGGGTCTGATCCTGGTTTTGATTCTGGAAACTGCTTTGCTTACATTAGTGTTTGTGATGCTCATTAACTTCCCGTGTCTCGTCGTAGGCAGTGCTGTCAATCAGCCCGTGTACTTCCATGCACAGCTTGGGAGTAGGGAGTCTAATTTGAGGGTGTTCCAGTTTTCCTGCAGGTATAATCTTAGTGCTTTGTGTGGTGACATGAAGATAGGTAAGTGCTTTTAAATGACATTTTGGAGCACTGCTAAGATGCCTCAACTAAGACAGCTAAAATGTCCCTCTGTGTTAGCTTAGGGTAGTCAAAGTCCCCAACTCGTAACTCGCGTTCCTTGTGTGACCCCCTGACATTGTTTGTGACCGCTGCTCTCCCTGCTGACTTGGGGTTTAGGTTTTTAATTTGCAAAGCGTGTTGTTGCCTGTGTTACTTGTTCAGTATAGGTTCTTATACGCCAGCAAAGACTGGGGATCACTTATTTGAGAAATGCTTGCTTACCCCATCAATTTAACTACACAGATGCCCGATTCAAATTATCCACAGAACAGTCACAACAGCTTTCTATGCGATTTAGGAAACCTTTGATCCGGTAAGGAGTCATGCACATAGCTCCTCTATTTTCCCCATGCTGACCTTCATGATTTTCTATTTCAGGACCACTTGTGGTGCAAGATGACAGTGGCAAAAATATCTTGAGTTTTCAAAGTTACGGTTTGATGTGGGTATAGTTTTTGCTGAGAAGGGATGCTTAGCTCCCTTCTAGGATACTTGTCCTTGGAGGAAATACTTGAGTGCCATGTAACGTTCAAAAAGGTGTTCTGGTGAGTTCAGCCTGGCTGTGCACCGGAGACGTGTGCCATGCATGCACGTGCCTCCCGATTCCTTGAGCTGCTCTGAATTCACCCTCACAAAATCTTCAAACACGGCGGCCGAGTTTTGCTGGCCCTCGTCCAGGAAGGGCAGCATTCAAGTGGTTTCTAATAAACTGGCATTTAATATGTTTGATTATATAACCCCTTGCAATTATTTATTATTTTTTATTGAGCTTTCAAGCCGTATGCATCGACTTCCACTTTTTCTCACCTCTGAAGACTTGTTTCCTTACAAACCAGGCTCATGTTGTCAGCTCACATGTGCTTGTCTAGCTGTCTTGTCACTGCCATTCTTGCCCTCCCCATAGCTTCGGAACTCATCCACCGATTTCAGCCTAGTTTGACACAAAGGTGGAATTCTGTGAGGTACAAAGTACCTTCAGCAGGCAGCCTGACGGAGGCAAAAGCCAAGAAAGGAAAGGTTTCTGTAGGAGTGTCATCTGCCACAACACAACATAAAATCAGACACTAATTCATAGAAAATCAAACTGTATTAAAAGAGTCAACTACTCATGCATATTTCCCAAAACATATGGGAAACATAAATGTTAAAAATAAAGAAATTAATTGCAAAATCTTGGGCCAAGGGAACATTATGGTTGGTTGTTTATGTAAATCAAAGGAAGAAAACATCAACTACAGATGATTGCCCAACCTTTGTTCACTCATTTATACACTTTAAAACGCATACGTTAATTACAGATGTGGTTGCCACTTCTTTAACACTAGAATAAAATTAATATTTTAACATACGGGTATGGTTGCATATAATTTTAGCATTCTTTGTAGCACCATGATAATATTTGATAAATTACTTGGAAAAGTGTAATAACTTGTTTGTAGGCAGTGTGCCATATTTATATTAAGTTTAATAAGTACAATAGTGAAAAGATGGTCAGGCGTATAGGGGCAAAGAATGCAATTAATGAATTATCAGTAATATTTAGTTAATTGGAGTGGTTTACAGGTCTGCTGCTTCAGACCACTTAGCATGTGGATGCTACTTGATTAGAACTGTCCTAGGATGTACATTTGTGCATTTGTGATTTTTAACGTTTTTACAACTTTTGAAGTAGGAAGTTTTTATACTGTGCACACTTGCAGTAAGGAAAGAGATTGAATGAATTTTGGGGAAATTACTTTTAATGAATATTTGATGTAGAATTTATGAAAGGGATTTGTTTTGCCTTTTTTTTGTTTTATAAGATTACAGTCAGGCCATGTGGAAAAAATAAGTTGTATACAAGGGACCATCATAGAAACAACTATAATAGTAATTTAAAAAAATTGTTAATACGTTTTTGTTATGACTATTATCATCTTTACATATAGCTTCCTAAATAGGGCTGTAATTTGCCATGCTTATCTATTTTGAGTAGTGTTTTTGTGGATATTTTAGTGTTTTGCAAGTAAATTCATTGGTTTCAGATAAAACCAAAGGGATTACATGGGGAATCCAAATGGCAAAACCTGTAGCCTGCTGGTTGGGGGCATCCCCATCTCCTCGGGAGAGGTGGGGACTCCTGCTGCGTTACACGGGGAGAGGCTGGAATATGCACCGCTCCTCTCAGGCCTCAACATCTAGCTCAGGAGGCTTTTCACAGAGGGGTAATGCAGATTTTGATGTAATAAACTGTTGTTGGGGTTTTTTTCAGTGCTTGATTATCCCATTCAGCATTTGGAAAGGAAGGTTTGCTTTTCCATAGGACACAGTAGCTGGAGCTGGTTGGCTTTCTGTGCCCCATCTTCCTTTTTTTTTTTTTCTTTTTTTCTTTTTTAAATTACATAGTTATTATCTGTGAAAATCATCAGCAGTGGAATAGCCAGTAACAAAATGCTGTCATTGGGCTCTAGAGCTAATTGCCAAATGAGATAACCAGGGAGCAAGAAGTTAAATCTGTTCCTGTTCCTGCACCCGGCTGCGGATTCAGGAGGTGCAACATCAGCTACCCTGCACTCCTGTCGGGAAGGATGCTGCTGTTGCTGGCCAGTTGCAAATTAAAATCTGTAAAAAGTCGTAATTGGGAGAGGGAGGATGTAAACTTGCACTGAAGACTAAGTCAAACTTACAGCCTGCCTGTTTTTAATGCCCTTCCTTACAAAACAGAAGACACCTTTTGGAAAAAACAAAACAAAAAAGCCACAAACAAAAAACCACCACCACCAAAAAACCCAAATTAAAAAAAAAAACACAAACAAACTAAACCCAACAAAAAATAACCCCCCAACAAACAACTTCACAAAGGGGGAATCTCCCAGTTTTAAGTAGAGCTACCTAAATACAGAGCCATGCTTACATGGTATGCAAGTTCAAGGTTTGCTGTAACATAAATACAGGGGGTTTTTTTTCTGTTTGGAAATAAGTATGCTCATGTCACTGTATAGGAAGGCCTCTATATGAAGGAGCAAGGGACCAGAATCAAGGCTGAATAAGCTCAATTAACATTAATATTTTATGTAATTGGGTAAGGGAAATTTAATCTTTCCAACAATGTGTCACCTGACAAGCAGGCAGTCGCTACACCCGGCAGGAGGAGGTGGGTGGGAAGCTCTGTTTTGATATTCAGATACATTTTGCTATTGAATACAAATCTGAATTGCCAGCATAAAACTCTGAGAGCCCAGTATACTGCTAACTGGTACAACGGTAAGGGATTGCTTCACGCTCTGGTGTCATGGGAGTGTTTGGAGCTTGGATATGGGCAAATACAGCCTTGGGGTCTGTATGGATCTGAATGTCTTGATAATTGGAGCCCGGTGGTACGCTGGGGCCTCTCAAGGTTGGGAACTGCAAACAGTCAGCCCCTGGTTGGGTTGGGGCCAAAAAGAGTCGTTTTAAAGGAATTGGTGCTGTGATTTGTTGATTAAACCACACCCACACCCGCATAAATCTGCGGGCAAACCAGCAAAATAAATAAAAAGCGGAACTTCCTTGCAATGGGCTTTTCTCACTGCTTTAGCTGGAGTGGAAACGGTGCTAGCGTATCGCCGTATGGCGTTGACAAATATTTTTCTAAGTTTGGAGTAGGAGCTTTCTTGCAAACCGCCCACTCTCCTCGCTGGATCGGGGTGGGCTGAAGCCAGCTGGCACCGGCCCAGGGAACCGGTGTGCCAGGTCACGCAGGAGATGCTCTGATTCAGCAGAGGCTGGAGCAGATCGTACAGCTTGTCTCCCCTTCTGCTTATTCACCTTCTGGAGCAAAAAATTCCCTCTTTTGGGTACTGCGCATCCCTGGGTACACCCGGCTTGCGGCGTGTCCCAGCCACGTTTTGCTTGGCCCATGCTGGGGAGGGGGGTTGCTGCCCTCTTAGCTGTCTGGTTTAGCCAGCTATTTAAGCATGCGCCTAAGTTTAAGGAACTGAGCGGTGCTGTTGAGTTGATAAAACTGTTCACGTGCCTGGTGTTAACACACTTTCAAATACCTTGTTGAACTGGAGACGATGCACGTTGCATCTTGGGTTTTGGAGGATTGATTTTTTTTTTTCCTTCTGAAGTTTCCTTTGCACTATCACTTTGCCAAGAATAGGTTTATTTTGGGAAGCGCAAATGTAAATTGAGTAGAGGATACCAAGTATTACTGTATTAAGTATACTATAAAGGAAGGTTGATTCATCAGTTTCTTGATCTTCGTTATTCCATTTGCTTAGGGTGTTTGATTTTTCTATTACCAGTAAAAAAATAGAAGCTTCTTATTTCGGAAGGGGCTATGAACACTTCCTTATTACTAGTGGAATGTAATGTGTGCTTTAACGAGCAAAATAGCTACTATCTGCCCAAAACACATATATTCATTGTGCAATCAGCAGTTTCATACGGAAAATTAATACTTAAATGGTGCCAGGAGTATTAAAGTATGTAATTGTTATTATTTAAATGCCTTGAATTTATTTGGAACAGTCACGTTTTTCTTGTATATATTTTAATTTTGTTTTCATAATCTACATTTTTAAAGACATCCAGCAGTTAGGCTATATATGGTTATACACGTATTAGCTGCTTTTTAATTTATTCCTGTATAATCCAGTATTATTAAATTCTGTGGACTAAGGAACTGATCCTGTTCATTAAAATCAATAGATGCAGTGTTGCGCTCTGTGTGTGTGTGTGGTGTGGTGCTTTTTGTGGTTTATTTTTTCTTTGTAGGATATATCCCTCAGCATACAGCAAACTGATACATAAAGGGTCAGATCGTTTAGGCTTTACTTGAGGAAAATATCCACTGATGTCAATGCCTGAATAGGATCAGTCTCTTAAAAGCATAGTTTATTTGAAACTGCTTTAGCTATTATTAATTCCTTCTGGAGAAAAATAATCTTACTCATCAAAGCATTAGAAACGGCATCAAGAAAGCCAAGTTCAGCGGGTCTTTCAACCGTGCGAGATGTCAGCCATCGCTGTGTTAAAGCGTAGCCCGGTACATACCAACGACCGCTCAACCATCTCTTTTCTTTCTTGTCTTTATTTATTTATTTTTGTACTCCAACTCTTATTGGCATCGAAAATCACTAATCTCTACCCATTACCGTTTTTGCTAATTTACAGTGATAACTGTGGCTCTGTTTTCATTAGGAGATGAAAGCCGGGAAATTAAAAAACAAATTACAGGGATGAGAAGATTACTGAATGACAGCACTGGAAGAATCTATCAACGAGTTGGCAAAGAAGGAGAAAAACTGAAGGAGGAGCCCCAAGACTTAGACTTAGCCTGGGCCCAGCGCCTGAATCCCCCTGCAGAGTCCCAGACGAGCCTTCATCCTTCACAGAGCGGCACCTGGAATGAATTATCACCCCAAGCTAGCCATTTTTCAGGGCAATATGGAACTCGATCCAAAACGTTCCAAAATCAAACGCGAACCGTGGCATCCAATGGTATGATCTGTATTAGATACTGAGAATAGTACTTTTTTTTTTTTTTTCCCCCCTCTCCTTGTACTGTACTAAATTTCTGCCTTTGTTGTGATGATTTATTGTGCCGCTGCGCTGAAATCAGTTATAGTTCAGAGTCTACAAAATGAGCACATAGTTATCACTTTGAAAAGGTGCGAAAGTGGGCACGGTGCATTCTGCCACCATCTGTCTTAGCTTTTAAAATGGATTCCTGGTGATAGGACAGAATTACTCAATGCTGTTACAGGCTTAATTTCTATACAGTACTTATTAAAACAGCTTTTGCCATTGTTATTAAATTCGTAGCTAATTAAATGTCAACTTCTACCACTCCTCTTTGCAATGAGTAATGTAGCAGTGTTGTGACACCACTTGCGGAGCAGGATTCTACTGACTTTCATAAGGGGATGGCACCAGCCTTACAACTGGCTGCCGAACTTCAGGTACAAAATCCCATCACAGCCTTAGGCTTTTATTCCGACAGGGCCATTGAAGAAAAGAAGTGATGGAATCTACCTATGAACAGCATGTACTAGACCGTGGTCCATCTTGTACTGGCAGAGAATTCTGCCCTAAAGTAGATGGCAGTGTGCCCTTAAAATGCTTTTCTTTTCTTGTTTTAAGTTCCAGAGAATGGAGGTTTTACTGCCAGATTCCTGAAGGTCGTCTTTAACGATCTGAATTCAGTTCATAAAGTTTTTGTCCTGATATTCAACCCTAAATTTAGGGGGGCGGGGGGGCTTATATTAAAGAGGTACCTCAGTTCTAAATTCTGGAAAATAAAAAATGATGAGATTGCTTCTGAAAACATCAATTTCCAGTTGATTCTAAAGGTATTCATTCTTCCCAATAGCAGCATCTGCTGTGTATCCTTCTCTAAAGGCATACAAGTTCTCATTGCTTGTAACAGTTAAAAAGAAAAAAATACTATTATTATTCTCAGTACTGTCCTTTGGGAAGTACTGTCACTGCACTAAAAAACATACAGCCCTAGGTTTCACCAGATTGACTGTTTCTCTGTAGCAACAATGATTCACACAGAGGTATCGGTTGACCTGGAGAAAGATGTTGCAGTAAGTCATGCTAGTTTTATTTATTTTATAATAAAAAAAAGGGGGTTTTTTTGTTTTTTGGTTTTTTTAAGGCGCAGAACCAGGGGAGAGGGGAAAACACTTGATGGGATTTAGCATCCAAGTCTAAAGCTGTGCTCTCAAAATCCCACCATAACAACCTTCTAAAGGTGGAAGGACCCAAAATTCATTACACATCTCCCTCTTTGCCCTGAGAGTCCCTGGGCACCAGCAGGGACAGTTCCCTGCATGCACAGAAGTGCCCAAGCCTGCACAGCTTAGATGCCTAGTTCCCAGATCCAGAAAGTAGGTGGAGCAGCACCTCTATGCCCTCGGGGGCCTGATTCAGCATGTGAGCTAAAACGTGTTGACACGTTTTGGCCCTGCATGCAAGAAAATGCCAGCTTTTTAATTTTTTGTACGAAGAAGAAGGGTTCGGCTGATTTATGATGTCCTACAGGTTAGAACGGTCTGTGAGACAGTAGAAGGGTTGGGTTGAGGGACCTCTGGGCTGGTCAGGAGGAATGTCCAAGCTCCCAGGTCTTGGGGAAGTGCACTAGGAGGCACCTTCACCCCTCCCTCTGCAGCTGTCCTGCTGCAGAAAGGAATGCAGTCTTTTAGGTTATTACAGAAAGATGGGCGTGGGCCCTCTCTTCTGGCCACCTTTGAAAAGACAACATGCGTAGCTCTCTGAGAGCAAGATTTTAGGTGTCTGCCTCCACTGGGGTGTTTTGATCCTCATGGGCGGTTTTGCTGCTTTGGCTCTGAAGCCCAGTCTCTAGGAAAGGCAAACTTTTAATCCATTTCTGGGCTATGAGCAAGCTCTGAAACTGCTCCTTGCCCAGCACACAGCTCTTCTAGGTGGCTGTTGTAGCATGCCTGATTCCCTCCATCCCTGGCATTGGGAGCCCGAGCATCTAACTCAGTAATCAAGATGTTATTCAGAGAATGGACAAAGTCCTTGAAAGCTGGGTGTGGAAATGCAATCAAATATTAAAGGAGATACTACTCCTTGGTACTTACCATGGTGTTTAAACTCATCTGAGCAAAACTGCTAAGGTAGGACCTAAGCTTATTACGCGGGGCCATCAGGCCTAGGTCATCACTGGGGAGATGTCCAGGCATCTGTAGCGGGCAGTCTGAATCTGGAAACTGTTTCTCTCCATTGGATGGATGTTGTAGAGGAAGGCAAAATATATGTTGTAGGCTGTGTGAATTACTCAGATTTGAATGTAATAGGGATCTAAGTCCATCTAACTAGTGTGGTTATCTACTTGCATTGTAAAGGTGGTTCAAGGAAAGGCTGGAACGGATGTTTAGTAGACGCTGGTATAGAAAGCAGTCGTGAAAAAGGTATTTGCAAAAACAGACAAAAGGAGGAATGGGGGGAGCCTAGGTATTGTTGCAGCAGAGAAAAGAGTAGGAACATACTTGAAAAGCAAAGTGTTTTATTCCAAACTGGAATAAATCCAGGTTAGGAAGTTGGGGAGATGTCTGTGTCCCACTGTGTTTAGTGGAAGCCTCTTGGGGCTGTAAACAGTGAGCAGCATCTGCCCTATTAGAAACAACAAACTCCTAGAGCCTGTCTGAAAAAATTTTAGTTTCATTTCTTGTGTTGTGTAGCAAATCCAGCAGTGATGCAGCAGCTGAATTGCTTTTCAGTTACGTCAAGATTGTTCTCAACGGATTGCCCTTGCATGCTTTTCAAATATAAACTTGTGGTAGCAATGTTGCACCAGGTGAATTCACTCTTAGCAGACCCAGCTGCAAGAACCACTGTCCTGGGCTACTTGCTGCTTACACGGGGGAAGCAACTAATGTATTTGTGTCATCTCCTTCTCTCAATCATACAAGCCGGTATGAAATTTGCCTGCTGGCCAGCTTCCAAAAGAGAGGGAGATGGTTCTTTAAAGACTCCTTCATAAAAATAAAAAGTCTGTTCTCCTTTTAAAATTAAAAATTGATTTATAACAAGTTGAAAAGGGTTGCTTTTGTCCTCTAAAAATGATAAAGATAGTGCTTGGAACAATGACTGAGAACACTCTACAAGATGTTTCTTACAACACAGTAACTGATCAGAGGAGGGAGGATAGAAAGAAAATAAAAAACCCTCATGCATATGTATGAAGTCAGTAGAACCCTGCTTTGATTTGAAAAATTGGTGGTCTCTTTTCCCATTTCCAGTACCTATGGTAGATTTACATGGGTAATTTCTATCAATGCTAATGGAGATTATAATGTAAATCCCCCATGCCTCAATGGGAAAATAGACCCTTTGGTTTTCCATCAGGAGCCTGCATGCTTTCATTAGGAATGTGTTATATTGCAACAGGAAAGATGTACAGGTATTTACTTAAACGATTTGTCCAAGTTTTCACGTGCAGTTGACATTCGTGTAGAGTCTTTGTTGAGAAGGAAACAAAAGCCTCCAGCCTTGTGTCCCACTGTAGTCCTTCAGATACTATTTCCAGAGGCCCACTGGAATATCAGATTCTGATCAAGAGAGAGGATGAGCCTTTTTCCGAGGAGCTTATTAGTCTAAAACAGCTGAGAAAGCACTGGAGGAAGGATATTCCTACTATGCATTTGTCTTTTATTAATAAAACTCTCCTAATTTCCCGGGACTCCCATTTCTGGGGTACCTGCTTGTCTTACTGAAAGGTTATAAGTAGCCTTGAACCTCATCTACTTAAAAGTCTACCTTTAACAAATAGTTAAATGGCATTGGTGGAGCCAAGTTGAGGGACTCTGAGTAATCGGCTGCAAAGCTGAAGATAACATTATTTTTTTTTTCCCCTCTGTACCTGTAACAATGGGCTGAACACTTTATGGACCATTGAAAAGATAAAATCCCATCCATGCCCCAAGGAACTTTCAGTCTGAATAGACAGCGTACAAAGGAAGGGTGAGATCAAACTAGGCAGAGTCCTGCTGAGTCAGTAACCTGGTTTTTGTTTTAACTTGAGACTCTCAGCCTTTTTTTCAGATTGCTTTTTACTTTTAAAAAGTTGTTGTGGTTACAGCTGAAGAAGCCAGTGGAACGATCACATTCATATTTGCTAGATTTGCAGAGATTCTGAAATTACTCCGTTTATCCTAACGCAGTATTAACAGTTTCTGTCCATGGATGGTATTTTAAAATACCGAAATCGCAGTAGTGTGGACAGTCTAAATATCTGAGGAAAGGAGGAGAGTGACTCCCAGAAGATGTCGGCAATCTTTATGTGACCCATCAGTTTAGTTTCAGAAGTAACTCACTGTTGGGAGAACGACCAGAAGAGTCCCATAGATCTGAAGTCCCACAGATCAGAGCTGAAGGACTCAATGGAAGGAGGTAGAGAACAAGTCCCTGGGAAGGGAGATTTGAGGATGGAGGGACACACTGGAAGAACTAGGAAAGGGTGGGAGTGATCTAGCGCTGGCCAGATTTTCAGCCATTGCAAATGAGGATCGAAGTCAGGGCATCTGTGTGGGTCTGACATCAGGGGAGCTCTGATGAAAGAACACAAACCAAACCTAAAAAGGTATTAACAAACTGGTTTGGCTTCAGAGGAAAGCAAAAGTAATAATGCAAAATGGGAGGATTTATGTGTGAAGATTAAATGAGTTGCTTATGCTTATGGTAATGATTAAAGGGCACCTGATAACTGTCAGGCTATGGAAGAAAAAGGGGAATGCGCTCTCTGAAGTCCACCACATGTGACACCAAGCGAGATTATTTTTGTTAGATCCATTTGTACCTATCTCCATAAAGTGATCATCCCTCCTCTTGCATGCTTTGATGAGCAGTAAAATAGCCATCAATTTAAATGACTATAAACACATTTTGAAATGAAGGGGGGCGCATCCCATCTGGCCTGAGTTTCAAGCAGATACTGCCAGGTGTTTTGTTGAATTTTGAAATTTTTATTTGTAGTGTTAAAGCATTTTAAACTGAAGCACGAGGTAGAACGATTCAGGTGAAGCTTGAAATCTCTGAACTGTTGTAGCCTGTCCTTACTCTGGACCTACGATGCAAAACTTCTGGAAAGTGAGGCAGTAATAAAAGCACTGCTAAGGGCTAGAACTAGAAGTGTGAAAATTCAGTTAAACACTAGGAAGAATTGCTAGAAAAGAAGAATCTGTTGAACTACTATATTAATTTTCAAAGGGAAACTGTGGAAAGCCCATCTCGTAGGTCACAGTGCTGGAAAACATGCCACAGAAAACAATCTCACCCTAGCAACAGAAGAGCAGGTCTGAAAGCTTTCTTTGCTGCTGGTTCTTTTCCATCCTGTTCTGGTTTTGGTTTTTTTTTATCCCCTCCAAATAAGGGATTTTATTTTCATTCTCAATTCTTCACATGGTAAAGAATCCCATGTAACATTCAAGCAGTTTAAAAATTCTTAGGCCCTCATTTAATGTGCAGTATAAGCCTTTATTACACAGACTGTCTTCATTCTTTGTAAGACTGTTCCGGGAGATGGGCTTTTTTGTGTGTGTGTGATAAAGTGAGTATGTTTATAATGAGGTTTGGTGCTATTGTTATTCAAGATGAACTAGCCTGACGATAGAGAGCCCCGCTGTGAAGAGTGCATTGTGTTCACGCTCTGAGCAGTCTCCTCCAGCCCATGTAACATTGCATCCTCTACTGTATATAATTGCACATACTAGTAATTGGATAAAACCTAGTGGCCCCTTCCTCTTAAAAGGGACCATGTTGAAAATTGTTCGCTTTCTTGCTTTGGATCTGATTTCACAACCGGGTATATTAATAATAGTTTCAAATGCCTGCTGGTAATTGTTGTTTGGATGGTTTTGTGTGGGTTACATCGTCTCTCCCCCGTTTCATTCCTCTCTCTTTCAGGAGAAATCCCAATGCTGAATTCATCAGTCGGACCAAACTGCTGTACATGTAATTGCCAGTCAACCCTACAGGCTATTCTTCAAGAGCTCAAGACCATGCGAAAATTGATGCAGATTCAAGCAGGTACAGTATCCAGTCCCATACATGCATATCCATGATGAGCATCTTCTCCTTGGGAGGAATGGTCTAGTAAGACAGAAATCTGCCTGGAGACTCAGGAGAACCTGGACTGTTTCCTGTTCACTTGATATGCCGTTCAAAGTAAAATTTTCACAGGCTTCTTGGAAATGTAGGTTTTACTTGTCAGATCCTTCCCTATAACATGGGATATTATCTTGTAGGAATCTTTTAAGGCTAAATTAAAAAAAATCTCATGTGATTAAATACTATAGTAATGGGAGCTGAGTGGGTAGGTCAGTATGCCATAATCACCCCCAGTTTGTTTTCACGGTGTATTCATTCAGAGGTGCAAAATGCTACTTTTCCTGTTACCTGTTTACAATTTCACTAATCTTAGGAGGAAAAAAAAAAAATTGGAAGGCCATTATGAGTCACCAATTGTACGAGGTTTAACAAGGCGAAGTGCCGGGTCCTGCACTTGGGTCACAACAACCCCATGCAACGCTACAGGCTTGGGGAAGAGTGGCTGGAAAGCTGCCTGGCAGAAAAGGACCTGGGGGTGTTGGTCAACAGCTGACTATGAGCCAGCAGTGTGCCCAGGTGGCCAAGAAGGCCAGTGGCATCCTGACTTGTATCAGGAATAGTGTGGCCAGCAGGAGCAGGGCAGTGACCCTGCCCTTGTACTCAGCACTGGTGAGGCTGCACCTCGAATGCTGGGGTCAGTTGTGGGCCCCTCACTATAGGAAAGATGTTGCATTGCTGGAACATGTCCAGAGGAGAGCAACAAAGCTGGTGAGGGGTCTGGAGCCCAAGGCTGATGGGGAGCGGCTGAGGGAACTGGGGTTGTTCAGCCTGGAGAAGAGGAGGCTGAGGGGAGACCTTATCGCCCTCTACAACTGCCTGACAGGAGGGGGTAGTGAGATGGGTATTGGTCTCTTCTCCCAGGTAATGAGCGTTAGGATGAGAGGAAATGGCCTCAAGTTGTACCAGGGGAGGTTTAGATTGGACATTAGGAAAAATTTCTTCCCTGAAAGGGTTGCCAAGCATTGGAATGGGCTGCCCAGGGAAGTGGTTGAGTCCCCATCCCTGGAGGTATTTAAAAGCCGGGCAGACGAGGTGCTTAGGGACATGGTTTAGTGGTGGGATGGCAGGGTTAGGGTAACGGTTGGGCTTGATGATCTTGGAGGTCTTTTCCAACCTAAATGATTCTACTATTCTATGATTCTATGAGTGATGGGAAGTGGAGCCATGGAGGTTTTTCTCTTAGAGTAGCTGGATGAGACCTCTGTAAGAAAAGGGAGTGTTGAGTAATTAACTGAAATATGGGTGGAGTGAAGGGCTGACTAAACTCCTTGTCTCCACGATGTATAATGCTTGAGTGAGCGACAGGAAGGATCAGACAGGTTTTGTAATATTAGTTGATACACATAAAAATGCTTTTCAAAAAGTCATTGATTTACAAAGCAGCGCATGAAGGCCCAGTTTTACAGTCCTTGCTGGGGCAGGGAATTCTTCACGCAGTTGCACCGATTTCATTGAAATTACATGCATGATTAAAAATGGCTTGTGGGTGAAAGATACAGAACTGGGGTTTAAGCCAGAAGAGCTGGCTCCTCCATAGCAGGAATATTTTTTATGTATCTACAGTATAAGTGCCTTGTTAATTAGTGAATCTCTTGATGAAAAGGCCTGGTAATAGTTCATATTTTTTGGTAGGCATGAAATGATGGTTTTGCAGAGAGAAAAAATAATCCGGCGTTTTTGTTGCTAAAAGAAAAAAAAATAAACTGCAAACATATAAGTGAAAGTATAATAACTTATTTTAGTATTCAAACACCCTTCTGTCTAAATGATAAACTACCAATCACAGTCTTGCAAACCCTTGCGAGGAATGAAATGTCCCAGAAATCTTTTAATAAAGAGTATTTCAGGGCTTGGTTTTGTAGTTCACTCAGTTCGAATGAGTTTGGTCTGCATGTGTAGCATTTTTGGCTTTTTTTGTTTTGACCTTGATCTTTCTGATTCATCCAGACATACAATTGTATCTGCACAACATTCTGCTGGAGGACTTAATCATGTTGATACAGGGTCAGGATTGGTGCCTTAATTTATACAAATGATTGTGGATACTGGAAAATGCAAAATATTGATAAATGTAAAATATGGTCTCTTAGGTTTCAGAGGTAACACATGAACTGCCAGTTTCTGTGCATGAGCTAAACAAACTGATGCAACTTTGGGTTACTTTTTTCCCAGAAATTAAAACTATTGAATAGTGGGTTTGCTCATTCTTGACATAATGGTACTTGAAATGTTCTTGCTGAGCTAATTAACTTGGTAACTACATTCATAAAAATAACTGTAATTGCATTAGCACTTATATTATCTTACTTTATCAGGAAAAGATGCTCAAAGACAATGAGATTCTCAGTCATTCAAGAGGGTATACAAATTAATCATTGCTTAAGTCCTTTGTGTCACCAACCATCCAGTGGTCACTAGGAAAAAGAGCCACGTATTCCTAATTTTCCTAAAACACTATTCATCAGTATGTCTTGAGAAACCTCATAGTGGAGCTCAGTGTTATTATCCCCGTTGTACTGATTGGAAAATCTAGCAAAGGTGATAAAATGTAACTGTTTCACATGCACAAGCAGCCCCAAAAACTGTACCACTTACCCAGCAGGTAAGTTCAGTACGTCGGTAGTTTAATGGTGCATCTGTGTGGTTATACATGCGCTTTTTTCTATAAATGTAACTCATTACTTTCTTTCATTCAGTTGGGACTCAAAACAGACAGCAGCCTCCGGTTCCTCTGATTTGCACGCAAAAGTCAACAATATCAAGAAAGAGAAATAAAAAGAAAAAACTGCCCCTCAAAACTGTTGAACCAGTTACCGTGAATAAGAAACCCAACACTGCAGAGAGCGAAAAGAAGCTATCAGCAAACTCGGAACGATTGAATCTGCAAGCAGTTGAACCCCCCGTAAAACCAGAAACCCCTGTTTCAGGATTTGGAATTATCCTTGAATCAGCTTCATCAGATGTAAGTTAATATTTTAATACGTGGGATCACAGGATTTTAAAGCACTAACTCGTTCAGGAGAATCAATACTCAAGTCAGCTTCAGTGTGTTCCCTCTTCTTGTTAGAATAAACAAGCAAATCTTGGGTAGGGTTGAATAGAGACAGTAGGGTTAGACGTGGGGAGTACTCATTACAAAGTTCTGGGGTATTTTGTTTTCAACTGAGCGCCGATTACAAAATTTTGGGGTTTATTTTTTTCAACTTTCATGAGCCTGTAGTTCTCCCTTGAGTTCAAGGCTGCCCGTTGTTTGAGCTTGCAGTGGAAACTTGTTCTTCATCTCTGCTGTTGCCAAGGGCCACCGTGAGATCAGGAGCCATGAAAAGTGCCGCGCGTATAAACCATTCACAACCCTGTCATTTGCTGATGAGCGCACGTAGTCCACACGTATGCTCTTACCCTGCCAAGATGTGTTTATGTGCTGTGTTTCATGCCGGGCTGGTCCCACTGGCTTCAGGGGACTCCTCACCTCAGCCTTTGCCGAATCGAGTCATTTGGCCTTCATCGCTGTGATGGCTGGATCAGGGCCTTGACGCTGTTGATGATGTCGGTGTGATTAAAGGGGCCAAAATTTGCTGCTCTAAAACTATGTACTTTTTGCATCTAGAATTGCAGTAAGCATATTTTCTTGATTCATGTAATGTGTGCGTTGATAGAATTTTCATGTATCTGGTGGCTGATTGGCTTTGTTTAATGACCAAATAGATGTCATCTCAACCAGTTCACTGATGAATAAACTGATCATTAATTTCTCTAATATATTTTTAATTTTGAGCAGGCAGTTTCCAATTTCCTAAGTACTATGAGCTAGAAAAACATAATTAAATTCAGTATCAATAAGCGTAAATGAAAACAATGCAGCAGATAATATTCTACCTTTCTGGAAGTGGGAACTAATAATAAAAAAGAGCAGTCATGATAATTCAGTTATATAGATGCAAGCCACACCACTAATTAGATTGCAGTCTCATGCCACAGAGGCAGTGTAGTGATACAGAGTAACTAGTTCAGTGCTTTTTCAGAGGTTTTCCTTTTGTAGTACTATGCCTAATAACCTTTGAGGGAATGGTTTGGGGAGGGACTGGCAATTTATCTCCAGTACGCAATTTGTGCTTATAATTTTTCTTTGCTTGTGGCACTCTTTTCAGCTTGAAACACGGTTTTGAAAACAGTTTTGTACTTGTGGTGAAATTTAATTTGACTTTATGAATGTGTTCCATCGCTGGACACAATTCTTCGTAGGTGCTAATTTGACCTAAGAAAAAAAAGAAGAGAAAACATGTGGTGCATAAATCAGGTCCTCATCTGCCCTCCCATGCTTTGGCCCCTGCTTGCCACAGAAGTTGTTTGACTAAATATTCAGAGCCAGAACCCCGAGACAAACAAATTAATTTTGTTTTGTCTTTGGAAAGAAAACAGTTGAGTTCTGAAAACAGATATATTTAACAGCGAAAATAAAATGTGACCTTAAACATTTTGAGAAGGCTAAAGAAAGTCACATCTTTCAGAATGAATGGCAGTATTATCTTTTTCTATTTATTCATAAGCATCGCTAGTGTGTTCATGACCAGAGTGTCTGAGTGCCTGAAAATAATGAAAGACATTTTACACAGCACCATAAATAAATGTTCCCTTGAGAATATTACATGGGTTGTCTGTAGTGTGTGCCATGTCATACGCCAGGACTGCCACCACTGTTATTTCGCCAACATTTATTAAACTTTAAGAAAAATCTCAGTTTAATGTGTATAAAGTAGGGGCTACTGAAACCAGTGCAATTAGTTCAGATTTGCTGAGATGAAATACTGCTACTTATGGTGGTGGGAAATGTCTCTGTGAGACCAACTCTTACTCTGGCCCGTGAATCAGAGAACCTGCTTTTTAAATGTAATGATCTGTTACTCTTGGTTAAACTTTCTTGTGTTTGTTTTACTGTTATAATGTTTCATTTATAACCTAATCATTTCTAATCTATGTAGTACAACCTACTGAAATGTCTAGGATTAAATCTGATTCGCTGCCTGTTAATTTTAGCACAGCAAAAGCCTTTGGCATTCAGATCTTATTTATTTTATTGTACACAAATAATTTACCCATCAGTTCCTTACGCCACGATCGTTATTTACTAACAAATGCTTTACCTTTTGAGAAATTGCATTCAAAGTGATCATAAAGTTCAATTAGGTACTGATTGTCTTTGATTGAAGAATAGTTTGCTACTAAAGGAAAGTAAGAATAAATCAGCGTTTTGCCTTCAAATTATTTTGCTGATATATAAATTGATTCCTTTATTAAGAATAAAACAGTCAAAACTAAAATAATATTGATGACTCCACTCCGGTGCACTGGTAAGGTTTGAAACATTTTTTACAGCTGTATTAGTGAAGATGATTTGTCTGCCCTAGGCGTCTTGTATCATCGAGGTCGTCTTAGATTGCTATCATAAGACCCAAGACCCAAGTAACAGAACAGGACAGGATACCTTCATCACCATGACAACTACATTCTGGCTTTTGATTAACATGAAGTAGAATTCTTCCCAAGTTGTAAACTTGGCCCACGTTTATTTACTCTTGAAAATCTTTTCTGTTACCAGAAAGTTTAGAAGTAACATATTAAACCACCACCTATATCAGAAGATTGTCAAATGTCCAATAGAGTAATTCTGTTGTGCTGGATCCAGCATTTTGAAAGTTCTCAAGGTAAAAGACAACTTCTCATCCAGAACAAGCTGAGAAACTTACGTGCTTTTTAGATTAATTTTTTTTATTGCTATCTGCATATTTTAAGATTCTTCATCCTGGCTTCCCAAAGCATCGTAATCTTCAGTTTTATCGCACAATACACATGCATATCCAATGATAGTGTATGCTTTGAAAATATTCTGCTTGCTGTAACTCTCTTGATATCAATTTAAAAGAAAAATCCATGGGAAAAGAGTTACACAGCCAAATCCTTCTGAGATTGGCAGCCCTTTCTTCTGTCTAGACTCAAGTTTGCAGGTGATTTGATGGGAGATGGCATTTGCTCTTGCTTTGTAAACGTATTTGAAAACACACCATCACTGGTGGATATATTTTCATATGGAGGGGAAAAAAAGCAAGTTATTAGGAGCAAGGCTGTAATGTTAGCTTATTTTCTCACATCGTGACCACTCATTCCCCCCCCCCTTGCCAACTTCAAAATAATATCTTAAAAATTTAGTTTATTCATGATATATCTTCATTATAGATATATAATTATTCCATACAGGCATCTTGCATAAGCATTGTTTGGTAGTCATAGAAAAAAACCCTGTAAATATTGTTCATGTAATTTCTGATATGTACAGACAGGGGCAGCAAAAAGACTCTTCGTCTTAGACTTCCTTGAAGGCCTTTGTCTGCTTTGGTCCACAATGTACTTGAGGCGAAGTATTGTGAAATACAGGATAATTTTGTTCCCTCTTCTTTCCTTCCATCTCACTTTCTGGCAATGGCATAAGTCCATGTGATTTACCACTGAGGGTTTTTTTGTGCTGAAATAAGCTGTCTATCTAACATCATCCTCTTCTAAGGATGCATTTGGGGAATCTGAAAAGGAGGGAGAAGTGGCTGATCAGCAAGCGCTGGCTCCAAGGGCAACCTCAAACTCATCATCTACTTCTACTCATATGGGCCGTATCTGCGCTGGAAGCCCTCTTGGGAAACCATGTGGAACGGGCCAGTAGCCCTGCAGTTGTCCTTCTTGGAAATGCACGCTTGTTCACATCATTTGGCAGTGAAACAAGGCCATAAAACAGTTAGATAGATGTCCAAAAAGCTTCGCATAGGAATATTGCTCTGGGATGATCCTCTGGTTTGTCATTATTATCCAATATTGAAAGGTACCTCTTTTCTTTTTGTTAGCTGTACGACTAGAAATAATGTCAGTAATTGTTAACTATTACAGTGGCGAGGCATGAGTATGATTATTTGATTTGCCTTTTAAGGTGCTTATTCACTGATGGGGTTTGATTTCAATGAAGTAGGCTGCTGTGGTACTGAATAGCTGAGAAAAGATTCATGGTTTGATTAAGTGATTGTAAAGTCTCACCAAATGCATGATTGAAGTAAAATAATGTATTTGAATGCTCTTTTAATTAAAACTTATGTATTCTTTTGGTAGCCAGAAGTGCAACTTGCAGAAGGCTTTGACGTCTTCATGCCGAAATCTCAGCTGGACTCTATATTATCAAACTATACTCGCTCAGGAAGTCTGCTCTTTAGGAAGCTGGTCTGTGCATTTTTTGATGACAAGACTTTGGCTAACTCTTTACCAAACGGCAAAAGGAAAAGAGGGCTCAATGACAACCGGAAAGGACTAGACCAAAATATTGTGGGTGCAATAAAAGGTATGGTTTTTGCTTTCTTTCATATGTGTAATTAGAACATATTCTCAGCTAAGGAGAGTGTAAGGGGATTAGAATTTCTGACGCGTGTTAGGTCTATTAAAATATGCAGTCTTATTTTTATTCCCTTTCATTCACTTGTTAAAAATAGCTTCTACGGGGACAGCTTGTGTTAATTTTAAGCCAATGATCCTGGTTTCTGAAGTCAGGCTCTAAGGTTAGAATCTCAGTCTTCGTATAAAATAATTATTTTCTTTTCCGGATATCAGAGATGCAAAGAAATCTTGAAAACATAATGACAGCGTAACTGATCCTCTTCAATCAAAATTCTGAGGCTTGCGCTGCATCTGACTGTGTCTGCTCTGTAAATAGTTTAGTAGTTGGTGGCTGGATTGGAGAGAGATGGGGGATGATAATACTGGAACTGAGATGAGTTTGATGCTCATAGGAACTGTGGCGGTGCTTCTCTTGGAACAAATCTCTTTGTCGGTGTGAGGATCCCGTGCTGGGTGTTTTTTTCTTAGCGATCACTGCTTTCTCACTTCCAGAAGAACACATGTACCTTCAAACTCTGTGATCACAACACATAAAGAGCTAGTATTAGGCCAGAGATTCTGAATGGGATTCTGTTATTTTGAAATTTGATATAGTAGGAAAAATACCCAAGTTACCAAAAGACAAGCTGCGTTGCAAAGCAAAGCTTATTTTAGAGGCTGTGACTTGTCCTGAGGTACAGATAGCTAACCTAGGAGACCTAAGGCAATGAGAAGAGCTTCTGTAAGTACATCGGCAGCAAAAGGAGGCAGGGGAACCTTTTGCAACCACCTCTGTGTCCGCTTTTGCCCCCCCTGCCTCATTCAAGAAAGACACTGGAGTGAGTCCACATACTTGGAGTGAGTCAAGTCCAGTGTAGGGCCACCAAGACTTATGGTATTGAAGCAGGTAAGTGGTGAAGTATGTATGTGAAGTGACATACTAGGAGAGGCTGGGAGAACTGGAGAGAAGAAGATGCAGGAGAAACCTTATTGCTGTCCACAACTACCTAATGGGATGGCGTAGAGAAGATGGAGTCAGGCTCTCCTCAGAGGCACAAGAAGCATTGGACACATGGAAAATTTCAACGTGATATAGGGAAAAGCTTTTTCAACATAAGGGTGGTTGAACAGTGGAATATGGGCTCAGAGGCACTGCAGGATCTCCATCCCTGGAAATATTCAAAACTTGACTGGTTGCAGTCCCGGGCATCATGCTCTAGTTTGCCATGCTTTGAGCCTCAGGCTGGTCATGGAGACCTCCAAAGGACCCTTTCAACCTGTGCGATTTTGTGATAAAATATATGTCCTAGTCCTAACACATCTTACTGAGTTTCTGGCAGACTTTCTTACCGTTACGCTTATAATTAGATTTCAGTCTCAAACACTTTTTTATACCTTCTTTTCTTGAGCTCAATAATCTGCAAAAATCCAAAGCTGAATTCACTCCATCTGTATCTCTTTCTTCCTTAAAAGCTTTAATAAATAAGTTAAATGGGAAAAAAAAAGAGTTCAAAATTACTTAAAAAAAAAAAAAACCTCTAATTTGAGCTGCACTGTGATAAAGGAAATGTTTTTCAGTAGATGCAGCAGCACTATTAAAATAGCAATCGTTACCCAATGCAGAGAGCAATGTTTCTCAGAAGCTAAGCTCATATTACCAGAGCAAATTCTGAAGCTTGGTTTAACCTCTTCCCTTGAGCTCAGGGGGAAGAAAGGAGGGAGTTGTAGATCCAGCAGATAAATTCCATCCGTGATGGTACTGCTAGGTACTGCTGTAATAACAGTGATCTTTATTAGCATTAACAGTATTGCCCAAATGCTCGTGCCTGATCCCTGATAGGGGAGCCCATCCATAAAAGCTGTGATGGAATAAGATGCCAAGGGCTGACGTCCTGTGGATCTTTTCTCAGCCTGGCTCCAATAGCACCCTTCTTCCCTCCAAAGAGCTGGGCTATCGGACACTGTGGTTTCATTTATTCCAAGAAAGAACTGAGCCAGTATGAAATCTCCAGAAGAACAACATCATGTTGTTTGCGTTATTATCATCAGGACATTCCTCTACCACGTGCCCAGATATCCTTTAGTGGCACTTTTAGTCCTTTTCCATGACAGAGATACAAAAGTGAAGAAAAAGCTATATTCATGACAAAACCGAGCAGAGAACTTAAAGGAGGGACTGTTCGCTTGAAAAATCACTCTTCCTGTCTAACAACATTTTAACTGCCATCCTTACAAGTAATTTAATGCTTCTGCAACAGGATGATTAGCCGGGGAGAAATTCTCTGTTGACTTGGGTATTCAGCAGCACTCGTTGAATCAGCTGCAGTGTTTCTCCTGGGCAGTCGGTTTCCCTTGTGAGTCGCATCGATCTTTCACTCAGAACTGGGGGCAAAAAGACAAAAAGAGATCGGAAGTGGTTATTTTTCCTTTATGTCATTGACTAGAAATCCAGCCAGTGAAGCCTTCCTTGCAGAAGTCAATGAACTGTGTTCAGATGTACGTGTCCCTCAGGGGTCTGTACTGGGACCACTACTATTTCATGTCTTCATCAGCGTTATAGACAGCAGGATCGAGTGCGCTCTCAACAAGTTTGTGGATGACACCAAGCTGAGTGGTGCGGCTGATTCACTAGAGGGACAGGATGCCATCCAGAAGGACCTTCACAGGCTTGAGGAGTGAGCCCATGCAAACCTCATGAGGTTCAACAAGGTCAAGTGCAAGGTCCTGCACATGGGTCAGGGCAACCCCCCCATATCAATGCAGGCTGGGGGTTGAAGGGGTTGAGAACAGCCCTGCGGAGAAGGACTTGGGTTGCTAGTGGATGGAAAGCTGGACATGAGACAGCAATGTGCACTCAGCCCAGAAAGCCAGCCGTACCCTGGGCTGCATCCCCAGCAGCATGGCCAACAGGGCGAGAGTGGGGATTCTGCCCCTCTGCTCTGCTCTGGTGAGACCCCACCTGCAGTGCTGCATCCAGCTCTGGGGCCCTCAGCACAAGAAGGACATGGACCTGTTGGAGTGGGTCCAGAGGAGGCCACAAAGATGATCAGAGGGATGGAGCACCTCTCCTATGAGGAAAGGCTGAGAGAGTTGGGGTTGTTCAGCCTGGAGAAGAGAAGGCTGCGGGGAGACCTTACAGCAGCCTTCCAATATATAAAGGGGACCTATAAGAAAGTCAGAGACATTTTAGCAGGGCCTGTAGTGACAGGACAAGGGGGAATGGTTTTAAACTGAAGGAGGGTAGGTTTAGATTGGACATAGGGAAGGCTTCTTTTTTTACAATGAGGGTGGTGGGACACTGGCACAGGTTGCCCAGAGGAGCTGTGGGTGCCCCATCACTGGAGGAGTTCAAGGCCAGGTTGAACGGGGCTCTGAGCAACCTGGCCTAGTGCAAGAGGTCCCTGCCCATGGCAGGGGGCTTGGACTAGATGATCTTCAAAGGTCCCTTCCAACCCAAACTATTCTGTGATTCTATGATATAGAGGTTGTTAGCACCATGCAGCTCAAGTCAACTAGAAAGGGGAGGTCCCACTTCTCCTGCCTCCTTCCTGTTGCATTCCCATTCTTTTTTTGCCCACATTGGTGTTTCCCTAACCATACATCGAGCAATCAAAGCTATTTTGACTTTCATTCAAGAGAAGACCAAACAAGTTAGAAAAGAGAAGCAAGCTAGCATATCGTCTCTCCAAGGCTGCCAGACTCTGGCTTCCTGTGCAGGGAACACTGGGAAGAAGTCATAATTCCCATGAGAGGCAACCTGCGGTGGGTGGCCTGGGTACAGTCTGGTGTCACAGATTGTCCCCAGGCCCTGGTCACAAGCAGGAACTGCAGTTGCGTGTTTGAAGTAAGCAAGAGTCTTAAGTCATTGATCAGGTTCCCATTGTGTCAGGTACTGTACAGATTCAGAAGGGAAAGCTTATTTCTGCCTTCAGAGAGACCATACTTGTTGCAAGTTGGACACTGGCAATGTGTGGGGCTGTATTGACTTCTCCAGGAAGCCCTCAGCGTTGGTCTGATGTCCTCGCTGATCAGACTACAGAGGAAAGTATTGCTAATGCCTTTCATGCAGTGGTGGTGTGAAGTTGTTAACATGGAAGGAGTTTGGAGGGTGTGCTTACTTTCGGTCCCTTTATACTTACCAGCTAGCACTGTTTCAAAAGCATGTGTATAAAAGTACTGAAATTGTCATTTTTTGTTGCATGCTTCCCCATCCCATTCGTGTGACGTTTATTGTCAAGGTTTACAAATTCCTTGAGCTGGGGTCAGCGTTCTTTCTTGGTTTGCCAGTCATAATTGGACACCGGGCTCTGAGACCTCTGACCAAGACTACAGTAGCAAGGCTAACAGTAATAATATTTTTGCTCTTGTTTATTTTTTGCACACCTCTCAGTTGCATGATGAAAATCAATTGCATCAGTTTCACTCCATTTATAATTCTGTATTTTTGGTATAGCATTGCTAGGTTTGTTGTAAATATGGAATTAAAGATAATGTTGACCCTCCATGTACAATTTTTACAAAATACAAAATTGGACCTGTAGGATACCTCTTTTTTCTCAGTAATGACTTTTTTTTTTCTTCAGTAGCTTTATAAAAATTCTGCTCCATCTGCTTCAGCAGTATGAGAACTGTAGAGATTTCCACAGTGGTAGGACTTCTGTCTTTCATCGATTTCCCTGCAGCTTTAGGAACCTCACCAAGAGGCCACCAAATGGCCAGATCTTCAGCTCTCTACTTGTACTATATGGAAGGCAGCACTTATAGGTGCCTGCCACATCCTCTGGAGACCCAGTTCAAAGTACACTATTATTTTTGTGTGATGTTTTTGTGTGAAATTCATGAATGGAAGATGTCAGGTATAGACTGTTTCTCTGGGGCAGGCTTTTATAAGTAGGAACTATGCTATTACTGTGATATTTATACTTACAAATGACTTCTGAATGATAAACTCTTGAAATGCTGGGTTGGACTCTGTTCTCGCAGTCCTAGATTTGGCTGTTTAAATACTTTTTGGTAAGTGGATAATTTGTTATATTTTGTTTATAATCCTCTCCAGTCTCCTCTTCTCCATTCTGGTGGCACATTTCAAAAAGATGGTATCTTTTTATTTCAGTCTTTACAGAAAAATACTGCACTGCTAACCATGTGGATAAACTTCCTGGTCCTAGGGACTGGGTCCAGATTCTTCAGGATCAAATTAAACTTGCAAGAAGACGATTAAAAAGAGGCTCAGGTATGTACAAAAGTACAAGGAACAATATGTGAGTGTAAGATTAAAAGCTTAGAGCCTTTCTGTATCTACAAAGTGTTTTGCTTGTTGACTGTAGAGTTGTACGTGTTCACTCTATAAAATTAGACCTCTAAGATTTTAGCAGGTTTCTGTGTAAAGTGCAGTGTTTCCTTGTGTTTGGTATGGTGGCAAATTCAGGAGCTGTCTTTGCAGCCACATTAACTCTGAGTCTTTCTCAAATGTTGTCTCTAACCCCTTTCCATTAGCACCCAAACTCTTCTTCCCAGTGGCTGATGAAACCTGAGTCCTAAACTAGCTGATCCATCCAGGGTTGCAGGTAGAAGTTTTTTAATTCTGTGTTATTTGGTCTGACAAGCCACCCACTGTACTGTTCAGACATAACCCAAATGACCTTTCCCTCTAAACTGTATGTGTCTGGAAGGATAGATGAGTTTTCTCACATTCCTTGTGAAAGAATCAGCATCACTGTAGCAAAAAAAAAAGAAAATACCACCCACCCTGGTTGTGCCAGCAAGGTTCTGCAACACATGGGAGGGAGCTTGCCAGCAGTGAGTAACAGGTAACCTACGTAGGGTTTTGCAGCAAAGCTGCTCAACTTGGGCTGGGATAACCTGCATGCCTGGGGCTGTGACCAGCCTGCGGTGAAGGCTCAGTGCCAAGCTTTCACCCCAACGGCACGCAGCTGGTGAGCTCTCAGCTCCAGCGACGAACAGCAACGTGCAGTCTCGAAATCCCCGGTAGAATTCATGGGAGAACATTATCACTGATTAAGAAACATGTAATTACTTTATAAACCTTAACTAGTCTCCTACCCATCTTCATGCCTCCTATCCTAAGTAGGGGCTTTCTTCATACAGGGCTTCACTTACTCTTCTTCCTCATCCTACTGTTTTCTTAAGGCTCTGTCATGGCTGTATTTCTTCCCCATCTCTCCCTTGGAGCATCTGACACCGTTTTCTGAGGCACATCATTTGTGCCACTGTCCTTAAACATGGTCCTTCACTGTAACTTTATTTAGCGGCTGCCTTTTCCCCTCTTCCCTTCTGCCCATCACCACAATTAAATGCTCGTTAGCATCCGTGGGTTGATGGGATGGGAAACCTGATGGCTCCGCAGGGGCTGCTGGTGGTCCCCGTGGCTATGGGGGGGCGAGTGAGACCGCAGGAAATGTCCTCTCCAGTTCCATGTCTGAGAGAGCCAACGTCTTCTGCCCAAAGCTGTGTCTCTGAAACACACACTTAGACTGGCATCTGAAATCATTCTCCACAATGTTATTAATGCCAGGAGGGAAAAACGTAAGACTGAGGAAAATGAAAAACACCCAGAGACAGAAATAACACAGGGGGAGAAAAAAAATGCAGATTATTCAGTAGTATAAGCTTCCCTGAGTAGAGAAGCAAACCAGCACTAGCCTTAAAAAGGGTTTCTTGTGCATGTTGGGGGAGGGAAGAGAGAGTGATACAAGATAATCTTGTTAAAGACAGTGTCAGATTACTGGTGTTGTACACCAGGACTGCCTTCTGCCCTTTCCAAGGCTGCCTGTCCCCATCCAGGACAGGAGGGTGGAAGTGGGATGCCAGGCTTCGATAAGGTGAAGAGTACGGTGTGGGATGCAGAGAGTGAGGGTCCTTGGGCTGTCTGCAGAAGATCCCTCGGGAAAGAGGATTGACCTAATTTTGTTTTGAGTTTGTATTTTCTTTCATCCTTTTTTATTTGCTTTTCTTCGTGCCTCCGCAGGATATTAATTAAAATGACAATGACATTCAGCTTTTGCCTTTCAAATGGGGCCACCTCCATCTCTGGTCCTTTCTCAGGATGGGAGAATTCAAGCAGAGGATATTGTCTCTAAGCTAGGATGACTATGAAGAAAAATAAATGAAGCTGAGTATAGTGTGACTGAATAAGATAGGCTCCGATATCTGGTTAGACATTAGGAAAAATGTCTTCACTGAAAGGGTTGTCAGGCTCTGGAATGGGCTGCCCAGGGAGGTGGTCGAGTCCCCATGCCTGGAGGTATTTAAAAGAAGGATAGATGAGGTGCTTAGGGACATGGTTTAGTGGTGGGATGGCAGGGTTAGGGTAACGGTTGGACTTGATGATCTTAAAGGTCTTTTCCAATCTAGACGATTCTATGATTCTATGATCTGCCTGTGCCTGCAGAGAGAAGGTGACTCGTTAGTCGGTACGTGGATGAGTAGTGAGCAGCAATGTACCTAGCAGCTCCTCAGGTTTGTTTGCTGAAAAAAAAAGTACACAGTACCTAGATTGGTAGAAAAGCTCATTTATGTGTTGTTTCATTTCCTGGCCATTCCCTGAAGTACACCGGTGTCTCTCTGGCATGAGACCACAGGCAGCCGTGCTCTTTTCGATCGAGCAGGAGTGATTGAATGCACGACCGTGGCCATCTGCACCTTACTGTCCACCACCATCTTCACCGGTGGCTTGAGCTAACCCAACCTGACCTTGCTCTGAAGCAAATGAGAAGTTTCCACAGCCTTTGTGACGGCAAAACAGTAGATAGCTGCAGAGAAGCGGGAGCAGACAGCTGGTTGCAGCAACATCTTCATCTTGTTGAAACAAGATTTGTCTGTACTTGTGCGTTACAACCATGAGCTTCTGACGTGAAGGACACAGAGCTGGTCAGGCGACAGATCCATCTAGTCCTGTATTTTGTTTCCAGTGGCCGCTGTTAGCAGAGGCCCGGGGAGGTCTATAGGACCAAGGGAAGGATGTTGCAATGCTTGCTAGCGTAGTCTCACAGCCCTCAGCAGCTTTATCCTGATGTAAAACTGGTTGTGTGGGAACTGTGCACATTTTAACTGTTCGTTGTGAAGCAATACCAAAATTGTTACAGCTGTGTGTAACTTAGAGAGACCAAAGCAGGAGGGGAGGGCAGGCATGGAGGGAGGTTTGATCTGCTATTGGGAGAAGGTGTCCCAGGACTCCATGTTGCAAAACTTAGTTTTTAAGAATCTGAAAACTATGGGAATTGCAGCCACTGAGAGGTGGGACTCATCACTCTTCCAGCTGAGCTCTTGAGTTCTTCCAGTCCGCGTGTGGCCGGTGGAGCAGAAGCTGAGCCCTTCTGAGCGAGTGTCCTCGATGCCCATACTCCCAGGTCATTCTCTCTTAGGTTTGTCTCCACTTGCTCACTGAAACACGCTGGCTAAGTTTGTCAGTATAGACTAAGGTACCCGAAGAACAAATCTGAGCCACCATTGAGCTAAATTCACCTGAGACTTTCTGAGCCAATGTGCCTCCCCACTGCTTGATCGCACTGATTTGTCTACATCGGTTTCTGGTTTGTCGTAATACGCAGGCTTTATATGGAAAACGCTTAAGTTTATCCATTTATTTTCCAGAAGGCACAAGACAACTTTTTAGTCACCACTGAGTTGGGCTAGATTTTAACATCAGAAGTATTTAAGAGAGGAGGGGCAGGCTTTCCACCTGCTCGCCTTCCCCTGAGCCATTTAGTACATCCTCTGATTAGTTTTTCATTTCAAACCAGGCAGTAAGACACTGCATTCACGAGCAGCTTTCTCCGCTTTATCCTGTGAAACATTATTTCAGTCTGGTAACGTAAATCCTGCTCTACCTTTCAGTGATATTAATAATTTTGGAGAATTCTTGCAAATGAGTGGGGTGGATCTGCTTTTCGTACCTCTTTCTATAGGGCGTACTCTCCGGAGTGTTTCCCAATTAAATGAAATCATCATCACTGGATCATAGATGCTGCCCAGCTTCAACCTTATTTATCATGTGTGGCTCATCTCCTAGTATTAGGGACAGAAAAGCTCCCTACATGGAAAGCTAATCAAAAAAACACTTAAAAATTCTGCTTTCTAGAAAATAGTTCCCCTGTGTAGATTTTGAAAGGTTGTTATCCTAAGCCAAATAAAAATTCATTTAAGTTCTGAATCAGTGACAATATTTTTCATAGCTGGAAATACTCTTTTTTAATTTATTTATTTTGCTTTGGCTTTTTCTTAGTTCCTTTAGATTATTGCCTGACATCTGAGGCTTGGGTAGGTTTTTTTTATTTGTTAGATCTGAGAATAAAGCTGTCACTGCCATTAAATTTTTATTGGCCTTGTTCAGTCTTTTCAAAATTTCACAAGTTGGCTGTCACAAAGGGGAGAAGAGACTGCAAGGTTAATGTTACAAACAGATGTTATAATTAAAATTAAAGAGTATGATAATATTCTTCAGCCTTGACTACTGGTCCCATTTCATGCCAACAGCACAGCGTACTGGGGCACAGCTTCACAGTGCCAGATCTGTCTTTCTGTCAGCAGAGAAGCTGAACCTTCTTGGCTGCTGGGGTGGGATGTAAAGTAGCCCTGGAAGGGAAGAAGTCAAAGGAAGAGGCATGTGCAGAGGTTTCCTCTCTTAAAGCAGTGTGAATTACGATGCAAATTGCCTTGTAATTTACGGCAGCGGGTTTCCCACGGCGTGGTCTTTTCACCCTGCAAAAGAGAATATGGGTAGCTGGCTGGTGGCCTTGCCCGTGGCAGCACAGAGGGAGACAGTCGACCATTAGCATAGAGATCTTAAAACCGGGTAAAATCAGAAGGAACTGAGTCGCTGTTCGTGTCACCTCTGTGCCAGACGTAGCATCCAAGCCTTTTGATTACTAAACTCTCCATCCATTAATAAGCAGTGGGTCAGGGGCCACGCATCTCTCGCAGTAAGTTCTTCCTCCCTTTTTATGTTTTGAAGAGCCTGTAAACCATTATTCCGTAGCGGCTGTCCATTGCATAGACAGGAAAGCTGATACTGGGTGAGTAATACTCCCGAAGTACACAAGGGTAAGAGCTGTTCCTGCAAAATGATTACCTTGTGCGTATCCTGGAAGCTTTTGATTGCCCTGCTTCATAAAGGAAAATGTGGCAATGTTAGAAAACATGCTGAAATTTTTCAGGCAGGATTAATTTAAATATATTACATGCCATGACGCTTCATCCTTGAATTGTTGTTTAAAATTAACATTACCTTGTTGCGGTGTAACATAGTGGGAATAACAGAAGAAAAAATGCTTGCCTTTTTTCTGGATATGCCCCTTTTCTCCCATGTCCTTGTTCAAACTGCTGCTTCTTTTGTTTCATATGGGTTCTGGGTTTTTTTGCTTTCTATTTCTCTTCATCCTTCTGATTACCCTGGTTTGTGTTTTTGATACAGTACCCACACGTTGCGAGAGATCAGGTTGGTTTTTTGCTTAGCAATAACACACACAGGGCCAGGAAGGATGCAGGACATGAGTCCAACGTGGTACAGTGCTTTTGTGGCCAGTATCTTAGATAAAGATGGCAATATTTTTTCACCAAAAGTGTTGTCAAGCACTGGAAGGGGCTGCCCAGGGAAGTGGTCGAGTCCCCATCCCTGGAGGTATTTAAAAGCCAGGTAGATGAGGTGCTTAGGGACATGGTTTAGTGGTGGGATGGCAGGGTTAGGTTAACAGTTGGACTTGATGATCTTAAAGGTCTTTTCCAACCTAAACAATTCTACGATTCTAATATTAAAATGAGTAACTGCTGCATTCATCTTCCCAGCCCCGAGCACACACGTTTTTCTGTCCAAGGAGCAAACCAGCAGGTGTACCCTTAGCATCAGAAGCTAAACATGTGCATCAGAAGCTAAACAATTTTGGGGGGGGCGAGGGGGGAAAATACTAATGAAACGACTACCAGGATTGTTTTGCAAGAGCTACCAAGCTCTGTTTAAGCAAAGGACAGAAAAGAGGCTCCAAATTCCCACAGTAGGATCTATTGCCGCTTGCCTTGTCTTGCAAGCTGGCTCAAGACAAGTGAAGTTTGGCTGGCGGTCTCTGGGCGCGGTTGTCGAAGGCAAACCTTCTTTCTTGCTTGGAATGACATGTGAGAAGCTGGTGGTTTACATCCACGTTAGGAGGTCGAGGTGTTTGTGTCATACTTCACCTGGAGCTGCGGTTACGCATCCAGTTTCATAAAACAAATTTAGGCAGCTACTGAGAAGAGTGAGTTGGCTCTCCAGGCATCTGTCGTGCTCCCACTCCCTTTCTGGCACTGGCACAAGAATTCATCTGGCAATGTTGTCAGTTTTTAACTAGATCTGATCTTGGTGACCGTATAAACGTTTGTGCTGGCATGAGGAACGGGACTGGAACAACTGGTGGAGAGCTGGACCTCGTCTATCAGTCTTGTGCCAGATTAAAATGGCCAGGTAACTTTGCTACCAACAAAGCTGGTTCTGCAAAGTTGGAGACCCAAGCCCTTATCTTCTCGAAGCGAGGTACTTCCTAGCTTCCATTTGTTTCTTTCCGTATTGCTGCCTTCCTCTGAGTTTTAGCCAGGTTAGCAGCTAGGCAGAAAGGTAACCATATCCCTTGAGCTACTTTAGGATTCGCTGCTGAGATTTCCAGAAAACCTGTGGCTTGAGTGGACAGCCTAGTTGGCACCAGCCTTTGGTACTGATAGCAAGAAGACTTTCCAGCCTGTTGCGAGCACTCGTGTCTGGCTTCCCCCGTTTTCACAGCTTGGGTCCCTTCAACCCGAGGGGCCAGTTTACAGCTTCATCTCTGGTATGCTGAGCAGGCGTGCTGCAGAACCACTTGGTGCAGGTTAGTTCATAACATAGCTGGAAACTGGCCTCGGACTGTCACTCCAGATGTTTTTTATGTCCTGTTGGCTGTTTCCCAGCTCATTTCACTGTGCTATCTCCTCCCTTGTGGATCCAGTCCTTCCATGGCTGTGAGTTTGGTCCAGATTCAAACCAGCCTAGGTAACATCTTCCCATTTATTCAGCCACCCATTCCTTCCAAAAGTCAAGATTCTTGCAGTAAGATGTACCAAGCACTTAATTTGTTTCTGCTCAGTGTGCCACCTTCTCCCAGAAAGCGGAAAAGGTATCGGTTCAAGGCACAGAGATGCTTGCTGGTCTGAGCCGTGGACTTGTCAGAGCTCTCCATTTAAACCTTCATGGGAGGAAAGCTGCATAGTACTAGGGTTTTTCCTTTGTTTCTGTTTTCTTTAGTTCAATTAATATTGCAGAATTGAGTAGAGAGCATATAGCTAAAAACTAATTGGCATCTGTGCATGGGGGGGAGAGAGAGCAACCTCTTGCTCCAGGGATGGATAGCCAGGTGTTGCTGGCTGATAGCTAATGTGGATCAGCAGCTGGGTTAGTTCTTCTTAGGATGTCCTCGTAAAGGCAGCAACTCAACATCCTTGTGTACAGAGCTGGGATAAAGATGACCACAACAGTTAGTGGGAGCCGAACTAAGTTGCTCAGTGCATCTGTACCCTCAGTCACATTTGATTCCTATGGATATCGTGCAGTGAATGGATGTGCATAGATGTATATCAGCCACACTGACCGTGTACGTTGTAATGGGCTGGTCCTTTAGGACCACACCTAGTTTGCTTAAGCACTCTGAAAGATCTCATTGTGTTTTGAAGGCCTTAAATATCACGCTGAGGTGCCAAAAGACAAAGGCAATGGGATTTTGACTCGGGCTTGTGTAGGTTAGGCACTGATTTCCCGGTACATGCCTATAACTTGCGCAGGGTTCACATGCACACTCCTGGGTACTACAGTCTAACAAGTCACTGCACATCTCCTGAGCCAAATTAACTGTCTTTATGCATACCCTTGGCCTGTGGCAAATACGAGATGAACAAATTAGGCTTTTAGCCTTCCTTCACCATGGGCTAAATTAAGTCAAACGATCTTGCATAAGCTGTGGGTTGAAAGCACGTGTGTATACATACACTGTAATTGCCTGTGTACCTGCGTGGTTACGTGCTGGTTTAATTACGCCGGGTGCCTACCTGCATCTTTGAAGACATTTTGCCCTGGTCGATCTGTCCCCCACAAAATGAGCTTGCGTGTGGTGGTGGGCAGTTTGGGTGCAGAAGTGGGGGTATTCACCCTTTCCCCATATGCATCAGATGATGGCAGCTGTCGGAGGGTGGAATACCAGCCTGAGAGGCTTATCCGCCAAGGACCGCCGGGGACTTCTCTTACGTGATGTTATCAAATGATCACAACTCCTTTTATCACCCGGATATCCTGAAAGCTTAAAAAGAGCAAGTGTTACTCCATCCCATTGCTGGCACAACTGCTTCTTAATACCCAACTCCCTCTTCTAAGTTTGCATTTTTATTATATGACCTTTTCCTCCAAGCAGTGAGTTTTTAACTCAGCAATAGAAAATTGCAGCTGAGGAAAGTAGATAGAAAATGCAAAATCACTCTACAGTATGTAGCTTTTTAATCGCATTCCCGTATTCAGTAAAAGTAATGAGATTTCTTGTTTATATTTGTAATCAGCAGAGGCAACTGACTGTGATGAGAAGCCGGACATTTCTCTACTACAAACAGGTAAAATGCATTAAAATTTTTATCAGCTTCCAATGTGTGTGTTTGTTTATTTATGGCACAGAAGCAGTTTTCAATAATCCTGGCGTGCCATATACAGTCGGGTAATTGCACACAGGACCCAGCTATCTTAAGTTTTGAATGGCCTGTATTAAAAACCAAATGCATCAGAATCTTACAATTTCCCCCTCTATTTCATATTCATAAAACCTCAAGGTTCATGGTAGCAGCTAAGCTAATAAGGCCAGTAAGTTACCCTTCTTATGCCAGACAGGGACTTGTGCTCACCCCTGGTATTTCTGGGAGGTTTTTTGAATTCTTAACAGAGTTACTGGTAGGGACAAACACAATAATTCATATTGTAGCATCTGTTCAGTTGTCCAAGGTATTAGCAATAATATCTTGGGTTCACAGAAGGATTGCAAAGATATTATATGCTAGTTAAGTGTTGGTTTACTTTCTCTTGAAACGCAGCCACCCTGCCTTAAAAGCCCGGCAGTTGCTAAACAGCAGCTCAGCTATGCAGCTGGGTCGACTAGGAAATAAAATTTTTGCACGCTGTTACACATGGTGTTGGAATCAAGACAGGCTGAGACTGAAATTTGAAGCACCCTCATTAAGAGGCGGTCCATCAGTAGATGCCCTGATGGTGGGAGCTGAGCTGCCATCCTCTGAAAATCCCGTGGGGCCAGAGTCTGGGGAGGTGGTCGTTTCCCTGCGTTACAGAGCCATTTCCCTATAATCTCACCAAGATGCTGCCTGTTATCCCCAAAGCCAAATTAAAAGGAGGGAAGATCTTGAGCGGACAAATAGGGTTGTGGATTATGGTGCATTTTTCTTATACTCCTAAGATGCAAGAACAAAGGGTGGTTGGAGATCAGCAGTGCTGTTGCTGTGAAGAACAGGTCAGGGCTGATACTGGGTTGTTGGATGCATGGCGTGGTACCTGGAGGCTGTGGGGTGGACGGGAGGCTACTAGGACCATCCTGGCATCTGTCTCTCGTGCAAGGGCTTCCTTATCCCTCTTGCGTAAGGGCTGGAGAAGGAGCTTTTGCAAGAACAAAGGGTGGTTGGAGATCAGCAGTGCTGTTGCTGTGAAGAACAGGTCAGGGCTGATACTGGGTTGTTGGATGCATGGCGTGGTACCTGGAGGCTGTGGGGTGGACGGGAGGCTACTAGGACCATCCTGGCATCTGTCTCTCGTGCAAGGGCTTCCTTATCCCTCTTGCGTAAGGGCTGGAGAAGGAGCTTTCACACACCCGTGGCTGTCTGCCGGAGCAGCTCCTGCCAGCCGTGGAGCGCTGTCGGCTGAAATCCCGCTGTCGGAGCACGTGCAGTTACTAAGGAATAGGACCAGCGGAGCATTTGGGAGGACAAGCAGCTATAGTCTTGTTCTGGCATGGACCCAGTGGGGGCTGGGAGCACGCGCTGGCTGGGAGCTGCCGTGCTGCTTTCTTGGCCAGCCGCTGAATATTCCAGGGTACAGTTGTGATAATAGATGCAGGAAGCTCTGGTTTGAAAGGTCTCTTCCAAGTGACATCCTGTTCGCTCCTTTTATCAGGGAGGGAAGCAATTCCGGTGCAAGAGGACCCTCATAAAGGTTACTAATGCAACGTAGCGTTATCTTTTCATCCCTCTGGTAATCATATTACGGAGCAGAATTATCGGATTGCTGTGCTTTTCTTTGCGTGCAGTTTCTGTAGTTACTACTTGCGTCGTACGTTATTGATGGAAATGAGCATGCCGAGATGCTTGTGGTGGAGAAGGCTTCCCCCCTTTCCACTCCACAGCAGATGACCATTGCAGTCTGCTTGCTCAAGCATCCACGCATGCACAGGTTTTGAGCCGAAATGTTTCCTTTGCGCTGTCTACCTCTCCGTACTATCTGTGGAAGGACGCCTAAGTAAACCACGCTGCAGTTTGCGTCGGTGGGGGAGGTGATGCTCGCAGGCTGTAAGCCAAGCTTTTGACTCACACCCAGTGTTATATGTGTGCGAGTGCCTCTTCATAGTACGTATCCCTGTAAAATAGCATACTGTTCTTGGAAGCAAATGGTTTAAAGTGATATACAGATAGTATAATGACAGTAATTATGACAGAGAGCCAAAATACAGATGCTTTCTATCAAGGAGTGTAGCAAAAGAGGTGGGATGTAACTTTTACAGAGGTCTTTCCCTGTCTTAGTACAGCTGGTTTTATAAAGGGGTGTTAGTGACAGGTTCTTTAAAGAGAGCCTTCCTGCAATTTATTCAGCTGTCTTCTCTGTTTAGCTTAAAAAATCTTTGGGGAAGAGTCTCTCTGACTGTGTGTTTGTACAGTGCCTGGTGCAGTGGGCCTTGGTTGCAGATGACAGCTGATACCAGATAAATCATGGCCTCAGGTTGCGCCAAGGCAAGTTTAGATTGGATGTTAGGAAAAATTGCTTCACTGAAAGGGCTGTCAGGCACTGGAAGGGGCTGCCCAGGGAAGGGGTGGCGTCCCCATCCCTGGAGGTATTTAAAAGCTGGGCAGACAAGGTGCTTAGGGACAGGGTTTAGTGGTGGGATGGCAGGGTCAAGTTAACGGTTGGGCTTGATGATCTTAAAGGTCTTTTCCAACCTAAATGATTCTTATGATTCTGTGATCAGTGGTTAACCTGGTGTGTTGGTAGAATAAAACCAGACCAAATTGGTTGAGGGGGATCTTGCAAGAGACTGGACAGGGAGAAAAGGTGGGATACAGAAGCTATTTGTGGAAGATGGTTACTCTCCTGGTCTTCAAGATTTGAACAAGCTTGTGAATCAGAAGCACCCAGAGTGAATTATTTGAATCAACGGTAAGTGTTGGTGGAAAAAAAAAAAAAAGGAAAACTTGGATGCCTTTATTCTGCTTTTTCTGCTCAGTCAGCCCTGCCTGTGATGCCGGCAACGTTAGGAACAAGGTCTGGGTATATATGGACTATTGTACTTAAAGGGATCCTATTCAGTACTTAAAGGGAGCCTATAGGAAAGATGGGGAAAATCTTTTTAGTAGGGACAGCTGTGACAGGACAAGGGGTAATGGCTTTAAACTAAACCAGGGTAGGTTTAGACTGGATATAAGGAAGAAACTCTTTACAATGAGGGTGGTGAAACCTGGGAACAGGTCGCCTAGAGAGGTGGTGGAGGCCCCATCCCTGGAAACATTCAAGGCCAGGTTGGATGGGGCTCTGAGCAACCTGATCTGGTTAGTGGTGTCCCTGCTCCCTGCAGGGGGGTTGGACTAGATGACCTCTAGGGTCCCTTCCAACCCAAAACATTCTATGATTCTATGAAATGCTTCAACCTAGGCGTTTTCAGATCACGGCCTAAAGCTGACACTTCATTTGAGACATCTCAGTCAGAAGTGTGGATGCTCTCAGCTCCCTTCATTGATGGTGGGAAGAGGGCTGCTTCCAGAGAGAAGGTCAGACCAGCCAAGGTCATGTTTGGAGGTGCCTCTCCTTTGGTGCCGGCAGGACTGGGCTCTGGGTGCAGTTAACTGGTGTAGGTGCCTACAGCCAGTTTGAACCTGCTCCCTCTGTGCCCACAATTAGCAAAGAAGTTCCAGACTTCGAGGAGAGCAGGGGGTGTTTTGTTTTCAAAACCCTCTATTTGAAACTCAAAAGCCTTGTAAAAAAATGGAGCTGGTACATCCTCATAAAACTAAGGAAGACATTTTTGCCCAATTATATTTTAGCACTTCTGAGCAGAAATCATGCTCCCGTTTTAAAATCACTCTCAATGCTAAGAGGGCCTTTGCTTTAAAAGCTGTTGATTGAAGGGTGTTTAAAGTAAATTGGAAGAACTGTGGCAGTTAAACTTGCTGAGAACTTTGGTGCATTGACAGATACATCTCAAGAAAATACTAGAAGAATTGTCCTTAACAAATGTTATCAAAGCTCCGGTCTTCCTGAGCTCCAGCTTTTGCACCTACCAAAAGCTGAAGGCTGTGTCCAGACCTGAGCTGAGACAGATCAGACAGCTCCAGGGGTAATTACCGTGGACTAAGTGGAAAGACTGATTAATTTTTCGGTGATACAGGAACCTGGCAGGTGTGAGATAGGTCTTTATCAGGATGAAGATGGTTCATCTCAATTTGGTCTACAATTTACAAGCATCTGGATTTTGTGTTTTTAAAAGAAAAAGCAAAAGGAAGGCATACTCCATAAATTCTGTATGTGGAAACAAAAGTAAGCCAGCTGCAACACCCTTTTCTTGAATCCTCATCTTGAAAATTGCATTTGAAAGGTGTATGCAGCCCAGGACCACGAGAGAGCCCTCCTTACACCTGCGCTTTGGACCACAGCTGTGCTGTGAGTTTATATAGTTTCTCCACACTGGGGTTAATTTCAAGACGAGAAAGAATTTTGCTATCCCTAAAAGAAGCCGAAACACTAACATCCCAATCCTCAGGTCCAGGGGTGATACAGCTTTGTGAAAAGATGAGAGCAATCTCTTGGTAAAGAAACCGATGATAAGAAAACAGCAACGATCCAATTCTATATAGGTTGTCTCCTTTTCTCTTGAAATACAATATCAAGAAAACGAAACTTCAAAAAAAAAAAAAACCTTTCGAAACCTTAAATATAAATCCTTTATTGTAATATAAATCTTTATCTTTTCAGTGCATGATTGTATGAGTCTTCCCTTTTCATTGGGTTGTATTTGCCTCTCAGGCTGATTGATGTCTGTCTCCCATTTGCCCTGTGTTCTTAGCACTCTCGTCGTAATTCTTCTGTCCATCTTTCATTGTTCTGTTTAGAAAAAGCACATTCTTAAAGTGCTTAAAAAAAGACGGGATATAATCATACCGTGTACCTTTTTTTATATATATATATATTCTCCCATATGCATTTAGACTGCTGTGGAGTGGTGGGGTTTTTTTTCTCCAAAGATCCCAAAGTACGTACTCTAGGTTTAAAATTCATGTGGTGCTTTTTTCACTTCTTCAGAACCCTAACTTCAAAGGGGTGAGCATTGCAGTGCAGTTTGTGCCGAAGTCTAATGCGATGCTTTACATCTGAAGTGGGGTGCGCTATGTGTTATGTGAAAAACTTCGCTGACATATCCTGTATTCAAAAAAATTTATTTAATTTGCTTTTCTTTAGCCGATTGAGCTCTACCCTAAATGGAATCCAGCAGCCACTGCCTGCATACAGATCAGCAGTTCAGCCCCGTCACAAATTAGTTAGAACTCAAATATGTATTTTCCATCATTTTAATTTGTTTTTTTGTTTTGCAAATTACTGATTTCTTAAATTTTGTGGTTTTAAACTGATTTCTTCAAACTCTTTCTTCCTTCAGGTAACCTTTTTGACACCACGACAGATCATCTGATGGACGCAAACCCAGATTTTTCAGCTTGAATTTCACCACCTGCATCAGTGTTCTTGGCAGATAGAAACATCCACCTCTTTGAATAATGTTCCCACAAGATCGGCACGAGAACTTCAGCGTATCGGCAAGATACGGACATCCATACCATTTTCCCTTCGAGTTTGTGTTGTTTCATGCATTTTCCATGTAACCTCAAATAACGAAACTGCCAGATTGCTTCACGATGATTTCTCTCCGTCTCCAATGCGTTATTTAATTAGCGGGGTATCCACTCTGAAGACAGTCTCTTGCCTTTGTTTTTTCTCCACGATTGTGTTTTTCCATGTGATCGTATGCTTGCCAGCAGTGTTTCATCTTAAGCCACGCAGAGGTGAATACACAGAGTCGGGTGGCTCTTCCCGTCCCCGGGGACCAGGGTGGCTTCTCTCTCCATCAGGAACCCCGGGGGCCCGATGAGCATTTGACTCAACGAAGCTCTTTGCTTCTGCAGACCCACTTCTCCATTCCTGGCTGCTGTGGTACCAGTCGTACGTAGCTATGATTAAAAAGTCCTTGCTGGATTTAGCAGGAAATAAAGCAGGATTCCTCCCAGCAGTGCCTGGTTTCTTAATTATAGCAAGGAGAAGCTATTCCTCAAAAAATTTTCCCTATGTGGTCCTAGCGGGATGGCTCTTGAGCATCTTTGTAGTGCACATCACTGGAGGTGGTCATTCTCGCCTCACTTTCCCCCCCCCCAACTTGCCCTACCACCTCCATCTCAAAACGGATTAGTTTGCCGATTTCCAGGAAGAGGGTCTCCACACTGTGATTTTTCAACCACTGCCCTTGGCAACAATATTCACCTATTTTTTAAAAAAAAGTCACCTTCTGACTGGCACTCTATTGATATCTCAGCAGTTAATTTGAGTGAATTGATCAAGAAATTGCACTACCTTCTTAGACACTGAAAGGGTCAGTCCTTTCAGGTCAGGGCTAAGGTAAAATCGTATGTGGCCCTCCATGCAAACCTTTACTTCTGCACCTTTCATCAGCACTAAATTCACTTTAAAAATGTCGGGAAAAAGTCTAGAAGGTTTTACCCGCAACATCTATCGATCATCGGGCGGTTTGAGCGTGTTTCCTGCAACTGGAGGGAGAGCTCGCTGGAGCCTTTACCATTGCATTTCCTTTCCCTGTGTGTATTTTAGGTGCATCTTTTTTTGTTTTGGAAACTATTTGGCCTTTGAGTGTCTCAACAGAAGTGCTATTACATAGTGGGATGGTTTTCAAAATACTTAATCTCTTTTTTTTTTTAACAATCCTAAAGCCTGTTCTCTCAGACGGCGCTGAATGCCCACAAATAAGGCTGAAGCCAACGGGGAGCGGTTTGTTCTCTCGGCACCTGAGAAACCAGGCTCCCAGCCCTTCCCCACCCACCTACCGTGGACTTTTAGGAATGACCGTGTTCTCTCTGAAACTGTGGAATAGATCGAATGTGCACTGCAAACCTTAAAATTTGAGTCTTTCCTTCCTTCGTGGCTTGGAGTTGCCTGCATTGGGCAGGGGGCACCGGTCCGTCGTGTCCGTGTCGTAACCCTTCAGCAACGGAATCAGCGTTTTGTAAATTTGGAAGATTGCATTTGTGTTTACTTACTGTGACTACTGTTCAGACTTTCTTCAGAAATCTTTTTATAGGTTTTATTAGAGAGAAGAAAAAAAAAAAATCATTCCATATTTAGGTAAAAATGTCTCAATCTTCTGTATATATGTTTTATTAATATGTAAATATTTAGATATTTTTAAATTACAATGTTCTTAATAAAGCGACAAGGGACTAGTTGTGAAATGGTGTATAACATTGTGTCGTGTTATCGATCTCTGGGAAACCCTCTTTGTCAGTCCAGAAAAGAAAACCCACAATAAATAACTTTAATTGCACATGAGTTCCTGTGTTCTGTGCTGGATTCCCACATTTCAGAGGAATTACCTAGCAATTAGTGGACTACATAGGGAAATGTATAGGAAAACCCTACAAGTTACCACCACGATACTATTTTTTCAGCTGGCTCGGACAGAAACCACGCTGCCTGCCAATCACAACAATGTCTTTGTCCAATCGAATAATAACTCTCAAGTATTAAGTGCTGATATGCTTGAAGTCTAATTTTAATTGAATTAGGTGCCTTTATAATCTGCACTTAAAAGGTTAAGCTCTGCTTCTATGGAAACAACACATAGGAAGGACAAACCAATACTTATAATTTGGAGTAGCTGCGAAGATAGGCGCTTGGTAATTTATTATCACACCCTCATCAAATGTTGTTTAGCCTTAGAAAATATTTCCTGTGAAAACATGTTCCTGGTAATCTTCCATCAATTACAAGGAGCCAGTGAAGTGAAAGAGCGGCTTGCCACACCTTTTCTGCTTTCTGTAAGGAGCGCCAGGGATAAATTGCTGGTGAAAAGTCTAGCAAGAGTTTCCTTTACTCGTTGGTGTCTGAACAGCCTGAAGCCTGGTGTGCATCCTGCATCCGTCTGACACGGTGTGAGCCCGCACGGTCGCTCTCCACTGGGGGGTGTTGCAAGAGCAACTAAATCAGATCACAGCACGGTTTGGGTTGAAGGGACCTTTGAAGATCACCTGGTCCAACCCCCCTGGCACGGGCAGGGACATCTTGCACCAGGTCAGGTCACTCAAAGCCCCATCCAACCTGGCCTTGAACACTTCCAGGGAGGCTGCTCTGGGCAACCTGTGCCAGTGTCTCACCACCCTCATCGTAAAGAATTTCTTCCCTATGTCCAATCTAAACCTACCCTCTTTCAGTTTAAAACTGTTGCCCCTTGTCCTGTCACTACAGGCCCTGTTAAAAAGTCTCTCTCCATCTTTCTTATGAGCCTTCTTTATATCTTGAAAGGCCTCAATAAGTTGTCCCTGAAGCTTTCTCTTCTGGAGGCTAACCAACCCCAACTCTCTCAGCCTTTCCTCACAAGAGAGGTGCTCCATCCATCTGATCATCTTTGTGGCCTCCTCTGGACCCTCTCCAACAGGTCCATGTCTTTCCTGTGCTGAGGGCCCCAGAGCTGGATGCAGCACTGCAGGTGAGGTCTCACCAGAGCGGAGCAGAGGGGCAGAATCCCCTCCCTCACCCTGCTGGCCACGCTGCTGGGGATGCAGCCCAGGATACGGTTGGCTTTCTGGGCAGTGAGGACATAATTGCCAGATTATGTCCATTTATTTGTCCACCAGTACACCCAAGCCCTTCTCCATGGGGCTGCTCTCAACCCCTTCAATCCCCCCACCTGCCCTGATGCTGGGGGTTGCCCTGACCCATGTGCAGGACCTTGCACTTGGCCTTGTTGAACCTCATGAGGTTCACATGGGCCCACTCCTCCAGCCGGTCAATGTCAACAGTGATTTGGTTTGCCTGTGCCCTCCATGTGTCCACAAATTGGCTTCAGATCTGAATGCAACTCATCACTCACACAGTTAGTGATCCTCCAACTCGATGGACCAAATCCATCAACAAGCATTGTCACTAACCTGCTCTGCACTGCAAGTCATCCCCATGTATTTTATTTGGCTTGGTTTTTTAAGCAGGGGGCAGGTTTATGCCATTACATTACATTTATGCCATACAAATACAGCATTATTCGTAACGTCAAGTTGCATGCCCATCTTTAAGATAGAATTAGGAGCAAGAAATGTTGCTGTGTGTCAGGATCTGCAAGGCACTAAATCTCATCAGCGCTGCAAAGGCACCAGCAAGTACTGCTGCGAGTTTGCAGTTTCGCCTGTGGAAGCAGCTTTGGGATGGAGCAAGCGCCGTTGCCAGCACTCGCACATGGGCTCCAGCCGAGCCCCAGCATCCTTGCCAGGCCATTTGGCCAGTGCATCCCTCTGTCCTGTGTGCAGGACACTAGAGATGAATACTTTGGGTGAAAAAAAATCCTTCTGAAGCGTAAGAGGAAAAAGGATATTCTCCTGGTGACATGAAAGGTAACTGGAGCCTGCGCTTTATAAAAAATGCATTAATTGCGAGGCGAGGAGAAAGTCATCTCAAGTGCCTGTGACCTGTTGGTTTAGAAACGGCTGGCTGAGTCTTTCGGGGGAAACACACGCTGTCGTGTCGGTCCGGTTTGGGGATGCGTCGTCCTGATGTGGTCACCCCTCCTGGAGAGAAACCTTCTCCCCCAGAAACCTACCCTCTGCTGAGGGGGTGATGCCTCGCTGGGGAGGGGAGCAGGCACTGTCCCAGAAAAACCCCTTGGGGCCACCTCCTCCTAAAGAGACAAGATGCAGCCAGGACTTTGCAAGATTTTTCAAAAATAACCCCCTTGTGCGTGTCCTCCCCCAAATCTAAAGTAGCAAAATGCCTTGTAGGAGCTGCCAAGACATCCCCTCTCCCTCCACTGGCTCTGGCGCTGCTCGAGCATCCCCACAGCTGGGCTGGGGCGAGCACCTTCACCCCTTCCTCGCCACGCTGCCATCGCAGAGAGGTGTGAGAGGGGGTTGTACAAGTAGGTCAGGTATGATTTCTCACCCACTGAATGCTAATAAAAGCCACCAATGTGAGACTATAACATTATGTGTATAAATAATTTAGCTCCGGTGTGTAAACATCAATTCTGGGCTTTAAAAAAAAAAGAAATAATTCCGTCAGCTTGTTCCCCTCCCCTCCATGCATATGTTTTTACATGCAACTGTTAACAGGGGCAGAAATAGCTAATACTTGGGGAATTTGGAAATCAGGGAGGCACACCCCTTGTGTTTCTGCACTGGCTCCTTCCTCCACCCGGATCCTCAGAGGTACAGAGGAATCGGGATGAGCACGGCAGCTCATTAGGAAAGAAGATGTAATTTCTGGCTTGTAATTGCAAGTAATCATTGACCAGAGGGATGGTGGTAAGAGGAGAAGAAGCTGTGTTTCATGACCCACGTTTTTCCCTTTGCTCCTGTTGCTGCTCCCTTGGGCAGATGTGGGCCCCAGGTTTGCGCCATGAAGCATCCATCCGACCTTTCCAGCAGTTACCTCCAGATGAGGCATTTTTCCCCAAAATTCCTCTCAGGAGGAGTCCTCACAGGGAGCGAATTCAGTCATCAAGAGTGGCTGCAAGGGGCAAGCAAGGCCCCATGGATGGAAACATTGGGCCAAGGCTCACACTTGGCCTGTGAGACCCTTCTGAGGAAGCTTTGTCAAGGATTATGAACTGATGTGGTGGGTAGCATGCCATTAGCTGGACCCTGGGCCCAAAACTGGCCAGACTGGCCCATAATCTTTCTTGAAGGTCTGGGGAGATGCATGGTCCACTGCTGGTTGCTCTCCCATACAGTTCATCCCAATGTAACTTTGCATTAAAGCATTTGTACTGCCATGGTTGCCCCTGAAGCTACCACACAGCATGGGGTGAAGACCATCTACCTCTGCCCAGCAAAAGCCATCACAGGTTGTAGGACCATGTTGGCCCATGGCTCCTACTGGAGCCTGCTGTGGAGCCAGCTTGGGGTGGCAACCACCACTGTGGCCAGGGATGTCCCCTGGTCATGTCCATCACTAGGGTGCCCAGGAGAAATGTTACCTTCAGGTGATGCCTGGACAGGTCAGAGTGGATGGAAAAGGCCAGTCCATGTAACTCTGCCATCCACTGACATTCAGGTGCCCTTGAGAACCTTTCCTGCCCCAGGGTGGTTCAGCAAACCATTAGATGGAGAGCATGTGCACACCTGGAAGTGGTCCCGCATGACGAGGTGCTTAGGGACATGGTTTAATGGGAATGGCAGGGTTAAGTTAATGGTTGATGATCTTAGAGGTCTTTTCCAACCTAAATGATTCTATGATTCTATGATTCTGGCAGGTGAAATCAGTCCAGGAGACTTCAAAAAACCTGGTTAGCAGCAATGCTCCCACCCCACACTATCCCTGCTCTGCTTTCGCCCCACTCCCGGCACCGCCACGGAGGCACCAGGCGAAAGCGAGTGTGGGCTGGAGGGGGACGAGGGGGACATTTGCATGTTGGGACCCTGTGAGCCCATGCCAACCCCTTGACGAGTTGCTGTGAAGTTACCACGGAGGGATCTGGACTGGAACCAGCATGTGGCTATTGCCGTTACCGCGGCTTAGAGAAAGCAAAGATTAATGTAATCATTTAATCCCGAGAGATTTCAGGATTCACCGACTGTATCGCATGTCTCCACCGCGGCACAGGGGAGGTGTGCAAACCGCTCTGCTGTTAGCTGGACCTCCGCTCCCAACTCATTCCCCTTTCCCTGAGCCTCTGCACGTGCGCTCAGACCCCAGCTCTCCCCGCTGCCACGTCCCTGCCTCCTGCCGCTGCGGTGCGGCGGTGGTGAGTCCTGCCCACAGCATCCGACCCGCTTTTTGGCTGGTGAGAACGGTGATACCATCCACCCTTGGTTTTCTTGACTTTTTTTTGGCTGGTGAGGGCTCAGGCCCCAAAGCCACAGACCTCCAGGTCCCCGGCGCACGTTGGCTTGCCTGACGCTGGCAGCACCAGCAGGGTGTCCACTTCCTACCCCTCCATCCACCCTGCCCTCAGAGGGCTGATGCCATGGGGAGAGCCAAGGGCCAAACTGGGCTGGATGCCCTGGGGGGAACAGGGTTTGCCTTGGGGTTAGAAATACCCTTTGCTTGCAAAA